TAGATACTTTGAAAAGTGACCCTTTGTCGATATGACACTTTATGATTGTGTATTCAAACTCCATATATTTGGTCCTTCATAACAATTCATACACAAATGCTGATACATACCACCCGCTCCTTGAGGTCCTGGTGGTCCTGAAAGTTAAAGAAGATCGACTATCATAAGAACAATACTATAAAACAATCTGTTTAAAAAAACTATGACTTTTTCTGGTTATAGTGATTTGACAAGTATCATATTTATCTTTTCTCTCAACATTTCAGAAAAAATATCTTCTTTGGATTTGTCATTATTAGTGGGATTCCTATCATGGTGGTTTTCGTGGTTATACGTGAAGCTCGAGTTTTAATGTTCAACGAGGAACACATTTTATTTAGGCTTGTATGCAGACTTTGGCATTACCACAGTTATTCCTCAATCCACAAAATTGGTACCCACGAAAAAAAAAAATGAATCCACTGTATAAGGTGTTCATTCAACAGACAAGCTAAAATGTTATTGTAGGAAGTGAACAAAAATAAATGATTTGCTAATAATAGTTCAAATATTTTTAAATGAGTGGAATGTTTGATTGGAACTTTAACTGCAGTTTCTTTTTTAAATGATTTAGATGTGTCTTGTTATCAAAATGATGAATTGTTACTAGAAAGCAATGGATATATACGAATATTGATACATACCATATCTTCCTCTTGGTCCTGGTGGTCCTGAAATTTAAAGAAGATAGTATGCCATCATTATAATACTTTTAAAAGAAATGTATTTTTTATGAACCTAGCATTGGTATAAGTTAAAGTGGTTTGACATGTACCATGTTCGTCATTTCTTGGTATATCTGAAAACATATATGTGTGGTTTTGAAAATTGAACGGCCATCCTAAAATGCTATTTAAGGAATTCCAAAGATGAGTTGTAAGCAATGTTTCAAATGTTTTGTAATGATTCTAATGGCAAATAATTTAGTGGTTATATTTGTTTTTGTCCTCTTTAGTTATAGGCTCTTCATTTGTTTAACAAGCTTTGGATTGTCAAACATTTTGGCCCAAAGCATCACTGAAGAGACATTTATTGTCGAGATGAGCATCTGGTGAAAAAAATTGGTACCGTTAATATTTAAGAAACTTGTTCAATTACAAATGATTTTATATGTGCATTTGCAAGCACATAAGATACTATACAATCAGAGATCGATTGACAAACACGAAAGTTGATACATACTAGCAGCTCCTGATGATATTGAAAGTTAAAGAAGACCGAATAGCACAAGTACAATACTATGAAACAATCTGTTTTTAAGAATCTATGATTTCTGTTTGTTATAGTGGGTTCACAGTTATCATATTCTTCTTTTGTCTCAACATTTCTGATGAAGGTAAATCCAGAAAAGCGCTTCGGACGCATGAAATTATTATACGTGTTGTTTTCAATATTTTCCTCACTTGGTCGATACCTCTGCTGGTGGACTATCAGTCCCAGAGGGTATCATCAGCTCAGTAGTCAGTACTTCGGTACTGACATGATTTATAACAAACTTTTCTAAAATTGTCCGTTTATAAATTTTGAAATTATAAAGAAACTAAGGTTTCAACTCCCTCAGGCAAAGTTGACCTTAGATAAATTTGGCTTTTTGTTTAGGTATTTTTGTTATATAGCTCTTCAACTGTTTCGGTACTTATACATCCCTCGGATTTCAAATGTTTGGCATTGAGCGTTCCTGATGAAGGTAAATCCAGAAAAGCGCTTCGGACGCATGAAATTATTAAACGTGTTGTTTTCAATTTTTTTCATAAACAATTTTATTATCGATACATTATTATTCGTGTGGTACCAAATTTCTGTGATTTCGTAGGTATACGTGAAGCACGAATTTTAATGTTGAACGAAGTAATTATTTTCTTCAGGCTTGTATGCAAACGTTGGCAAAATCACGAAATCAAATATCAACCAAAATACAAATGTTCCTCAATCAACAAAAAATGATACCCACGAAATTAAACGAATCATTCAGTATAAGTGGTTTGCAAATTCAACAGACAAGCTAAAATATTATTGAAGGAATTCTAAAATAAATAATTTACTAATAATGGTTCACATATTTTTAAGCGAGTGGAACATTTGATTTGGACTTTAACTAAAATTTCCTTTTCAACTGATTTATTTGTGCTTTGTAAGCAAAAAAGATAAATTATACTTCAATGCAATTGATATACAGAAATATTGATACATACCACCCGCTGGTCCTGGTGGTCCTGAAAGTTAGAGAAGATAGACTATTATAAGAACAATACTATAAACCAATCTGTTTTAAAAAAGCTATGACTTCTTCTTGTTATAGTGGTTTGACAGGTATCATATTATTCTTTTCTCTCAACATTTCAGAAAAAATATTTTTTTTGGATTCCTCATTATTCGTGGGTTTCCAGTTCTCGTGTTGTTCATGGGTATACGTGAAGCCCGCATTTTATTGTTCAACGAGGTACACATTTAATTTAGGCTTGTATGCAGACTTTGGCATAACCACAGAAATACAATTATTCCTCAATCCACAAAATTAGTACCCACGAAAAAAATTAATCCACTGTATATGATGTTTCCAAATTCAACAGCCAAGCTAAAATGTTATTGTAGGAATTGAAAAATATAAATGATTTGCTAATAATAGTTCAAATATTTTTAAATAAGTGGAATATTTGATTTGAACTTTAACTACAGTTTCTTTTTTAAATGATTTATATGTGCCTTGTTATCAAATTAGATGAATTGTTACTAGTAAGCAATTGATATACAGTCGAACATCGTTATGTCGTTATGCAGAAGGGGCCGGACCAAAGTAGTCGACTTATCCAAGGTTCGACTCATCCGAGGTCGAGTGTGTCGTCATAAATTTTGAATTCACGAAATACGGTATAAGATCTGTGTAAACTAGATACTTTGAACAGTGTGCCTTTTTCGATATGACACTTTATTATTGTGTATCCAATCTCAATATTTTTTGGTCCTTCATAATAATTAATACACAAATGCTGAAACATACCACCCGCTCCTTGAGGTCCTGGTGGTCCTGAAAGTTAAAGAAGATCGATTATCATAAGAACAATATTATAAAACAATCTGTTAATACAAACTTTGACTTCTTCTTGTTATAGTGGTTTTACAGGTATCATATTGCTCTTTTCTCTCAACATTTCAGAAAAAAAAAATTTTCTTTGGATTCCTCATTATTCGTGGGTTTCCAATTCTCGTGTTTTTCATGGGTATACGTGAAGCACGAATTTAATTGTTCAACGAGGTACACATTTTATAAAGGCTTGTATGCAATCTTTGGCATAACTACAGAAATACAATTATTCCTCAATCCACAGAATTGGTACTCACGAAAAAAAAAAATGAATCCACTGTATAAGGTGTTTGTAAATTCAACAGACAAGCTAAAATGTTATTGTAGGAATTGAACAAAAATAAATGATTTGCTAATAACAGTTCAAATATTTTTAAGTGAGTGGAATGTTTGATTGGAACTATTATTACAATTTCCTTTTAAAATGATTTATATGTGCCTTGTTATCAAATAAGATGAATTGTTACTTGAAAGCAATTGGTATATATTCGAATATGGATACATACCATATCTTCCTCTTGGTCCTGGTGGTCCTGAAATTTAAAGAAGATAGTATGCCATCATTATAATACTTTTAAAAGAAATGTAGTTTTTAAGAACCTAGCATTGGTATAAGTTAAAGTGATTTGACATGTACCATGTACCATGTTCGTCGTTTCTCTCAGTAAATTTGAAAACATATGTGTGGTTTTGAAAATTGAACGGCCATCCTAAAATTTTATTCAAGGAATTCCAAAGATGAGTTGTTAGCAATATTTTAAATGTTTTGTAATGATTCGAATGTTTAATAATCTAATGGCTTAACTTTTTTGTCCTCTTTAGTTATAAGCCCTTCATTTTATTTAATAAGCTTTGGATTGTCAAAAATGTTGGCCTCAAGCATCACCGAAGAGACATTTATTGTCGAGATGCGCATCTGGTGAAGAAAAATTGGTACCATTAATGCTATTAAAGAAACTTGTACAACATGTTCAATCACAAATGATTTTAAATGTGCATTTGCAAGCACAAACGATGCTATACAAACAGAGTGCAATTGATTACAAATAATATTTTCGATATGACGTATAAATGTAGTGTTTTGTACTTCCTAAATTTGTCTTTGAAATAATCTTTTTTCCACAGAAAACGCCAATTGTTTAGAAATATCCAAATTCGGAGACCGTTATCGATCCGTGTCTTATACGCTTTCGCGCATGCTCAGTAGACGTACTGTCCGATAAATCGGCCCACGGCCAACTCACATCACTCAAACACTCTCACTAATTATTACAACTTGCATCACTTTATCAAACTCGCACCACTCAAAAAAAAAAAAGAAAGAAATATAACAAACTCGAAGAAATGTGTTTAATCATTAGATTGTTTTCTTCTCCTCTTAGTTAATTCCTCCTTTCTCTGAGCACCCGTGTCACACAGAGACAGAACTCGCACCACCCGAAAAAAAAAATACTACAAACTAGCACCACTGAGAAATGTTTTAATCATCAGTGTTCTAGGTTGTCTTTTTCTTCTCTGAGTTATTTCCTCCATCGTTCTAGGAGCACCTGTGTAACACCGAGACATAATCTACTAATTGGGCATGCAAACTCCTATGGAAGAAGGACTGACAAACTAATAAAAACTATCAACATAATGCATCAGTGCATAGAACAGTTTGAGAAACACGAACCCATGTATCACCATAAAAATTTCAAGTAGTCTTCAAGCCGCGTTTTTTTCTAGCTTTCTTATAATGGTTCAAATGTTTTAGGTGAGAGAACGTTTGTTTGTAACTTTATCTTTAATTTCCTTTTCAAAAAAAATAGTTTGTGCCTTGTAAACAAATAAGATGAGTTGTAAAGAGAATGCCCTTGATATACAAATAGCTGATACATACCATCCGTTCCTGGAGTTCCTGGAAGAAAAGACGATACATATAGAACGAAATCATTTCATTAACATCAAAGATATATCTATTTCTAGACTCTAGCATATCTATTATCCAAAGCGGTTTGACATTTGCTGTACACCTCATTTCTCTTAATATTGTAGAATATTACATTTCGACACTTGCAAAACTATATATATACAGGCATACTTTAGTGTTACTTTCGTAGCAAGGAATGGAAAACACCTCGTTAATTATGGCGAAAAATGTTTCAGGCGAGTGGAACGTGTGATTGCAATTTTAATTGAAATTCGTATTTCAATTGATTTACATGTGACTTAGCAGGGTAATAATATAAATTGTAATCAAAATGAAACTGAAATACACAAATGTTGATACATACCATCCGATCCTGGATTTCCTGGAGTTCCTGGAAGAAAGAGAATATACTTGTAAAATTAAATCATTTCATTAATATCAAAGACATATCTATTTCTAGACGCTAGCATATCTATTATCTAAAGTGGTTTGACGTTCGCCGTATTCCTCATTTCTTTTATTACGTTAGAATATACCCTTTTGACACTTGCAAAATCAAACAGACGTACTTTAATGTTACTTTCATTGCAAGGAATGGAAAACACCTTGTAAATTATGGCGAAAAATGTTTAAGGCGAGTGGACGCTTTTAGACGCTTGTAAAATTGAACGACATTCTTAAATATTAAATTGTAAGTGAGATGCACTTGATATACAAACGGCTGACACATACCATCCGTTCCTGGAGTTCCTGAAAGAAAGAGAAGACACATGTAGAATGAAATATTTTTATTATTATCAAAGACATATCTATTTCTAGACTCTAGCACATCTATTATCTAAAGTGGTTTGACATTTGCAGTATTCTTCATTTCTCTTTATTTGTTAAAACATATCTTTTAGACGCATGCAAAATTGAAAGAGCCTTGGCTCACACCGAAATGCAAGCTATAAAGGACCCCAAAATGACTAGTGTCAAACCATTCAAACAGGAAAACCAACGGTCTAATTATCTATATAAAACACGAAAAACGAGAAACACCTATGAACCAAAATAACATATGCAGTATTCCTCAATTCTCTTAATATGTTAAATCATATCTTTTAGACGCTTGCACAATTGAACAGACATACTAAATGGTACTTCCGTTGAAAGATATTAAAAAAATACCTGTTTATTATAGCTCAATGATTTTTAGACGAGTGGAAAGTTTTATTGCAATTTTAATTGATAATTACTATTTTGTATACTTTATTTGCTGCTTATAATATAAAATTAATTATATTCATAATATTAACCAATGCTAAAAAAGGTTGTAACAAACAGAATATAATAGAAAAACAAATGATATGGGTTATCCATACATGACACAAAATCAGTACATTCACAGCAAAAACACACAAAAATCAAAGAAACAGCGCCTCAATTGCTGTTTTCATCTCAAAGTCACAGTGAGATCTTCAACACAAAGCAAAAGAAACTCTCTTCTCACTGCAAGTTTAAGACGGCCCCTAGCACCGGTTTGAGCGGAATTCTTTGCATAATGATTCGGATTTGGGCGCGTTAAAAAAATAACATACTGGAAAGTATTACATATTAAAAAAAAAATAGTTCATACGCGTATGTGTAAAAAAAAAATATGTAGAATAAACTGTAATCAGAATACAATTGATGTACACAAATGTTGATACGTACCATCTGCTCCTTTAGGTCCAGGTGGTCCTGCAAGTTAGAGAAGATCGAATATTATAAGAACAATACTATAAAAATAAACTTTTTTAAAAATCTTGGATTTTTTCTTGTTATAGTGGTTTGACAGATAGCATGATCGTTCTTTCTCTCAACATCTCAGATACATATCTTAATTGATTGTGGAGTTCCAATGTTGGTGGATTTCGTGGGTATACGTGAAGCACGAATTTTAATGTTAAACGAAGCACACATTTTATTTAGGCTTGTATGCAGACTTTGGCATTACCACAAAAACAAATATCTACGAAAATACAATTATTCTTCAATCCACAAAAATTTCACACAAGAAAAATAAATGAATCCACTGTGGAAGGTGCTTGCAAATTCAACAGACTAGCTTGAATCGTATTGTAGGAGTAAGAAATAAATGATTTGCTTATAATGGCTAAATATGTTTAAGTGAGTGGAACGTTTGATTGGTACTTTAACTATTATTTCCTCTTCAAATGATTTATATAAGCCCTGTAATTAAAAACGGATGAATTGTTACTAGAATGCAATTGATATATACGAATATTGATACATACCATACCCACCCCTAGGTCCTGGTTGTCCTAGAAGAAAGAGATGATAGACTGTCATCATTTGATTAATATGAAAGACATGACATTTTGTAGACTCTAGCAAATCTATTATTTAAAGTGGTTTGACATTTGCTGTATTCCTTATTTCTCTTAATAAGATATCCTTTAAATGTTACGGACGCCATCACGAGTTGGTTGACCGTTATGGAATAACCGTTTCACAGATGATATCGGATATGTTCCTTATATCGTAACTACAATACCCTTCCCTTTTCACGAATGTGACATATCGGATTAGACTATTTACCGGATTTGTAATAATTTAAGCAACACGACGGGTGCCACATGTGGAGCAGGATCTGCTTACCCTTTTGAAACACTTGAGATCACCCCCAGTTTTCGGTTGGGTTCGTGTTGCTTAGTCTTTAGTTTTCTATGTTGTGTCATCTGTACTATTATTTGTCTGTTTGTCTTTTTTTTTTGGCCATGGCGTTGTCAGTTTGTTTTCGATCTATGAGTTTGACTGTCCCTCTGGTATCTTTTGTCCCTCTATTAAACCTATGCAAAATTAAACAGAACTTTTTTAATGTACTTCCGTTGAAAGAAATTGAAAAAAAACCTTTTGATTATAGCTCAAAAGTTTTAAGACGAGTGGAATTTGTGATTGCAATTTTAATTGAAATTCCCATTTCACATGATTTACATGTGACTTAGCACGGAAATAAAGATAAATTGTAATCAGAATGCAATTAATATACGCGAATGTTGATATGATACGTACCATCCGCTCCGTTAGGTCCTGGTGGTCCTGTAAGTTAGAGAAGATCGAATATCATAAGTACAATACTATAAAAACAATCTTTAAAAAATCTTCGATTTTTTCTTGTTAAAGTGGTTTGACAGATATCATAATATTTTTTTCTCTCAACATTTCAGAAAAATATCTTCTATGGATTCATAATTGATTGTGGGGTTTCAATTTTATTGGATTTCGTGGGTATACATGAAGCACGAATTTTTATGTTAAACGAAGTACACATTTTATTTAGGCTTGTATGCAGACTTAGGAATAACCATGAAATCAAATATCTACGAAAATAATATGATTCCTCAATTCACAAAAATTGGTACCCACAAAAAATAAATGAATCCACAGTGGAAAGTGTTTGTTAATTCAACAGACTAGCTTGATTCGTATTGTAGGATTTAGAAATAATTTTTTTGCTTATAACGGTTAAATATGTTTAAGTGAGCGAAACGTTCGATTAGAACTTTAACTATTACTTCCTCTTGAAATGATTAATATGTGCCTTTTAATAAAAAAGGATGAATTGTTACTAAAATGCAATTGATATACACGAATATTTATACATACCATACCCACCCCTAGGTCCTGGTTGTCCTGGAAGAAAGAGATGATAGACTGACATCATTTGATTAATATGAAAGACATGACATTTTGTAGACTCTAGCAAATCCATTATTTAAATCAGTTTGACATTGGAATCCACAGAGGAAGGTGTTTGCAAATTCAACAGACTAGCTTTATTTGATTTGCTTATAATGGTTGAATCGTATTGTTGGAGGTAGAAATAAATAATTTGCTTATAATGATTAAATCGTATTGTAGGAGTTAGAAATAAATGATATGTTTATAAAGGTCAAATATGTTTAGGTGAGAGAGACTCTAGCATATCTATTATCTAAAGTGGTCTGACATTTGCCGTATTCCTCATTTCTCTTAATATGTCAGAACATATCATTTCAACACTTGCAAAACTAAACAGGCATACTTTAATGTTACTTTCATTGCAAGGAATGGAAAACACCTTGTTAATTATTGCGAAAAATGTTTAAGGCGAGTGGAACATGAGATTGCAATTTTTTAATTGAAATTCCTATTTCAATTGATTAACATGTGACTTAGCAGGGTAATAAAATGAATTGGAATAAAAAGAAAACTGCTATACACAAATGGTGATACCTACCATCCGATCCTTGAGTTCCTGGAGTTCCTGGAAGAAAGAGAATATACATGTAAAATGAAATCATTTCATTAATATCAAAGACATATCTATTTCTAGACTCTAGCATATCTATAATATATAGTAGCGTGACATTTGCCGTATTCCTCATTTCTCTTAATACGTTAGAATATACCATTTCGACACTTGCAAAACTAAACAGGCATACTTTAATATTACTTTCGTTGCAAGGAATGGAAAACACCTTGTTAATTACTAGTATGGCGAAAAATGTTTAAGTCGAGTGGAACGTGTGATTGCAATTTTAATTGAAATTCGTATTTCAATTAATTAACATGTGACTTAGCAGGGTAATAATATAAATTGTAATCAAAATGCAACTGAAATACACAAATGTTGATACATACCATCCGATCCTGGAGTTCCTGGAGTTCCTGGAAGATAGAGAACATACTTGTAAAATTAAATCATTGCATTAATATCAAAGACATATCTATTTCAAGACTCTAGCATATCTATTATCTAAAGTGGTTTGACATTTGCCGTATTCCTCATTTCTCTTAATACGTTAGAATTTATCTTTTCGACACTTGCAAAATAAACAGACATACTTAGATGTTACTTTCGTTGCAGTTTTAAGACAAGTGGAATTTTTGATTGCAATTTACATGTTAATTAGCAGGGTAATAATATCAACTGTAATCAAAATAAAACTGTAATACACAAATGTTGATACAAACCACCCGATCCTGGAATTCCTGGAAGAAAGAGAAGATACATGTAGAATGGAATCTTTTTTTATTAATATCAAAGACATGTCTATTTCTAGACTCTACCATATATATTATCTAAAGTGGTCTGACATTTTGCGTATTCCTCATTTCTCTTAATATGTTAGAATATATCATTTCGACACTTGCAAAATAAACATACATACTTTAATGTTACTTTCGTTGCAAGGAATGGAAAACACCTTGTTAATTATGGCGAAAAATGTTTAAGAAGAGCGGAACATGTGATTGCAATTTTAATTGAATTTCCTATTTCAATTGATTTCCATGTGACTTATCAGGGTAATAATATGAATTGTAATTAAAATAAAACTGAAATACACAAATGTTGATACCTACCATCCGATCCTGGATTTCCTGGAGTTCCTGGAAGAAAGAGAATATACATGTAAAATGAAATCATTTCATTAATATCAAAGACATATCTATTTCTAGACTCTAGCATATCTATTATCTAAAGTGGTTTGACATTTGCCGTATTCCTCATTTCTCTTAATACGTTAGAATTTATCTTTTCGACACTTGCAAAATAAACAGACATACTTAGATGTTACTTTCGTTGCAAAGAATAGAAAACATCTTGTTAATTATGGCGAAAAATGTTTAAGGCGAGAGAAACATGTGATTGCAATTTTAATTGAAATTCCTATTGCAATTGATTTACATGTGACTTAGCAGGGTAATAATATGAATTGTAATAAAAATAAAACTGAAATACACAAATGTTGATACCTACCATCCGATCCTGGATTTCCTGGAGTTCCTGGAAGAAAGAGAATATACATGTAAAATGAAATCATTTCATTAATATCAAAGATATATATATTTCTAGACTCTAGCATATCTATTATCTAAAGTGGTTTGACATTTGCCGTATTCCTCAATTCTCTTAATACGTTAGAATATATCTTTTCGACACTTGCAAAATAAACAGACATACTTAAATGTTACTTTCGTTGCAAGGAATGGAAAACATCTTGTTAATTATGGCGAAAAATGTTTAAGGCGAGTGGAACGTGTGATTGGAATTATAATTGAAATTCATATTGCAATTGATTTACATGTGACTTAGCAGGGTAATAATATGAATTGTAATAAAAATAAAACTGAAATACAAAAATGTTGATACCTACCATCCGATCCTGGATTTCCTGGAGTTCCTGGAAGAAAGAGAATATACATGCATGTAAAATGAAATCATTTCATTAATATCAAAGACATATCTATTTCTAGACTCTAGCATATCTATTATCTAAAGTGGTTTGACCTTTGCCGTATTCCTCATTTCTCTTAATACGTTAGAATATATCTTTTCGACACTTGCAAAATAAACAGACATACTTAAATGTCACTTTCGTTGCAAGGAATGGAAAACATCTTGTTAATTATGGCGAAAAATGTTTAAGGCGAGCGGAACATGTGATTGTAATTTTAATTGAAATTCCTATTTCAATTGATTTACATGTGACTTAGCAGGGTAATTATATGAATTGGAATAAAAATAAAACTAAAATACACAAATGTTGATACCTACCATCCGATCCGGGATTTCCTGGAGTTCCTGGAAGACAGAGAATATACATGAAAAATGAAGTCATTTCATTAATATCAAAGACATATCTATTTCTAGACTCTAGCATATATATTATCTAAAGTGGTTTGATATTTGCCGTATTCCTCATTTCTCTTAATACGTTAAAATATATCTTTTCGACACTTGCAAAATAAACAGACATACTTAAATGTTACTTTCGTTGCAAGGAATGGAAAACATCTTGTTAATTATGGCGAAAAATGTTTAAGGCGAGTGGAACGTGTGATTGGAATTATAATTGAAATTCCTATTGCAATTGATTTACATGTGACTTAGCAGGGTAATAATATGAATTGTAATAAAAATAAAACTGAAATACACAAATGTTGATACCTACCATCCGATCCTGGATTTCCTGGAGTTCCTGGAAGAAAGAGAATATTCATGTAATATGAAATCATTTCATTAATATCAAAGACATATCTATTTCTAGACTCTAGCATATCTATTATCTAAAGTGGTTTGACATTTACCGTATTCCTCATTTCTCTTAATACGTTAGAATATATCATTTCGACACTTGCAAAATAAACAGACATACTTAAATGTTACTTTCGTTGCAAGGAATGGAAAACATCTTGTTAATTATGGGGAAAAATGTTTAAGGCGAGTGGAACGTGTGATTTGAATTATAATTGAAATTCCTATTTCAATTGATTTACATGTGACTAAGCAGGGTAATGATATGAATTGTAATAAAAATACAACTGAAATACACAAATGTTGATACCTACCATCCGATCCTGGATTCCCTGGAGTTCCTGGAAGAAAGAGAATATACATGTAAAATGAAATCATTTAATTAATATCAAAGACATATCTATTTCTAGACTCTAGCATATCTATTATCTAAAGTGGTTTGACATTTACCGTATTCCTCATTTCTCTTAATACGTTAGAATATATCATTTCGACACTTGTAAAATAAACAGACATACTTAAATGTTACTTTCGTTGCAAGGAATGGAAAACATCTTGTTAATTATGGCGAAAAATGTTTAAGGCGAGTGGAACGTGTGATTGCAATTTTAATTGAAATTCTTATTTCAATTGATTTACATGTGACTTAGCAGGGTAATAATATAAATTGTCATCAAAATGCAACTGAAATACACAAATGTTGATACATACCATCCGATCCTGGAGTTCCTGGAGTTCCTGGAAGAAAGAGAATATACTTGTAAAATTAAATCATTTCATTAATACCAAAGACATATCTATTTCTAGACTCTAGCATATCTATTATCTATTTTTTTTACATGTAAAACATATCTTTTTGACGACGCTTGCAAAATTGAATAAAAAATGTTAAATGGTTTTTCAGGTGCAAGAAATTGAAAAAATACTGTTGATTATAGCTCAACAGTTTTCAGACGAGTCGAACGTTTGATTGCAACTTTAATTGAAATTCCTATTTCACATGATTTACATGTAACTTAGCAGGGAAATAAAGATAAATTGTAACCAGAATGTAATTGATATATACGAATGTTGATACGTACCATCCGTTCCGTTAGGTCCTGGTGGTCCTGTAAGTTAGAGAAGATCGAATATAATAAGTACAATACTATAACAACAAACTTTTTTAAAAATCTTGATTTGTTTTTTTGTTATAGTGGTTTGACAGATACCATAATCGTTTTTTCTCTCAACGTTTCAGAAAAATATCTTCTATGGATTCATAATTGATTTTGGGGTTCCAACTTTGGTGGATGTTGTGGGTATACGTGAAGCACGAATTCTAATATTAAACGAAGTACACATCTTATTTAGACTTTTATGCAGACTTTGGCATAACCACAAAATCAAATATCTACGAAAACACAATGATTCCTCAATTGACAAAATTCGGTACCCACGAAAAACAAATGAATCCGTGGAAGTTGTTTACAAATTAAACAGACTAGCTTGAATCGTATTGTGGGAGTTAGAAATAAATGATTTGCTTATAATGGTTAAATATCTTAAAGTGAGTGAAACGTTCGATTGGAACTTTAACTATTACTTCCTCGTCAAATGATTTACATGTACCTTGTAATAAAAAAGAATGAATTGCTACTAGAATGCAATTGATATATACGAATATTGATACATACCATACCCGCCCCTAGGTCCTGGTTGTCCTGGAAGAAAGAGATGATAGACTGCCATCATTTGATCAATATGAAAGACATGACCTTTTGTAGACTCTAGAAAATCTATTATTTAAAGTGGTTGGACATTTGCCGTTATTCCTCATTTCTCTTAATATGTTAGAACATATCTTGTAGACGCTAGCAAAATTGAACAGACTTAAATATTACTTCCGTTGAAAGAAATTGAAAAAAAAACCCTGTTCATTATACCTCAACAGTTTTAAGACAAGTGGAATTTTTGATTGCAATTTACTTGTTAATTAGCAGGGTAATAATATCAATTGTAATCAAAATAAAACTGTAATACACAAATGTTAATACAAACCATCCGATCCTGGAATTCCTGGAAGAAAGAGAAGATACATGTAGAATGACATCTTTTTTCATTAATATCAAAGACATGTCTATTTCTAGACTCTACCATATTTATTATCTAAAGTGGTCTGACATTTTGCGTATTCCTCATTTCTCTTAATATGTTAGAATATACCATTTCGACACTTGCAAAATAAACATACATACTTTAATGTTATTTTTGTTGCAAGGAATGGAAAACACCTTGTTTAAGGCGAGTGGAACATGTGATTGCATTTTTAATTGAAATTCCTATTTCAATTGATTTACATGTGACTTAGCAGGGTAATAATATGAATTGTAATAAAAATAAAACTGAAATACACAAATGTTGATACCTACCATCCGATCCTGGATTTCCTGGAGTTCCTGGAAGAAAGAGAATATACATGTAAAATGAAATCATTTCATTAATATCAAAGACATATCTATTTCTAGACTCTAGCATATCTATTATCTAAAGTGGTTTGACATTTGCCGTATTCCTCATTTCTCTTAATACGTTAGAATATATCATTTCGACACTTGCAAAATAAACAGACATACTTAAATGTTACTTTCGTTGCAAGGAATGGAAACATCTTGTTAATTATGGCGAAAAATGTTTAAGGCGAGTGGAACGTGTGATTGCAATTTTAATTGAAATTCCTATTTCAATTGATTTACATGTGACTTAGCAGGGTAATAATATGAATTGGAATAAAAATAAAACTGAAATACACAAATGTTGATACCTACCATCCGATCCTGGATTTCCTGGAGTTCCTGGAAGAAAGAGAATATTCATGTAATATGAAATCATTTCATTAATATCAAAGACATATCTATTTCTAGACTCTAGCATATCTATTATCTAAAGTGGTTTGACATTTACCGTATTCCTCATTTCTCTTAAGTACAGCTCCTTGTAAAACCCAGGCAGAGTGTGATTTATGACCCCTTTCAATATGCATGAAAATGGTCCTAATAAGAGGTAGTCATGAAAAAAAAAAAAAAAATTGCACATTTTTTTCAAAATTATAAATGGTTGCCATGGTAACTGCCAAGGCAAAATTTCATAAAAAACAAGGTGTTTTTTTTTAGAAAAATCAGCCAACTTTATTAATTATTTTTCAGGCATGTATTTTGCCAACAAAATTAAAACAATATATTTTCAAGACAATGTGATACACATACAATCAGATTGTAAAAACAATATTGTGACCTCAGTTGTACATTTCGGGTAAATTTAGGTTTAACTTTGAACAAAATCCTCAAATTTCTACTTTTTACAAATTGTGAAGTTTACCATGTATAAATGATTTAATTTCTTTAGTTACCAAGTTTAATATTTCAAATCATGTACTGTACATTATTTATCAAAACATAATAATTTAAAAAAAATGATTCAAATTTTTGGGATCTATAAGCATTTTTGGTTGCCATGGCAACAAAAATACTACATTTTAGTCTTTTTTTTTTAAAAAGCCTAAACTTAAAATTTCAGTATGTTGAAACTCAAGTTATGCTATTATATAGACTTAACTTGAAATTGGTATTTATTATTGGAACAAAAATAAAATATTAAAATACAAATGTTTATGTGTTAAAAACCCTTTTTTTTGGGGGGGGGGTTATGCAAAAATTATTCCATCATTTTCAGAAAAAAAGTCAATTTTTAATATTTATTATTTCCCAAAGTTACTTCTTTTAAAAGTACTTTAAAAGTTTATTCAAATTAAACAATTTTTCACTGAAAGTGTTAAATAAGTGTTTTTAAATTGTAAATAATTATTCAGATAGGCCCCTCGACCCAGCTGGGGGTAGGGTGTAATTATTCATACAGCAAGAAAATATGTCCATAGCACACAGATGCCCCACTCCTCATACTATCATTTTCCATGAATATGGGTTAATTACAAATTAACCTTAACCTTAAAAGAAAATTTATAATTCATTTTTTACAAAGTTCTCCTTATTCAAGTTATAAGAAGCCATCTTAAAAGAAAATTTATAATTCATTTTTTTACAAAGTTCTGCTTATTCAAGTTATATATATATGATTTTTTATATTCATACTTTTAGAAAGTGTCATGGACAAACAAACTGGATGATGGTCAAATTTTATTGTTGTAACATATATACATTAACCATTTATAACTGTGCATTACTTTCTTTAATAAGAAGCAAAGAAGATCATCCATAATAATAAATTGCTCTACAATGATACAATTTGTTATTTCATTAAGATATTAAACTCCTGAATGTTTTTTTAGATAACTAAGTTTTTTGCCGTAATGTATGGTTCAAAATAAAAGGCACAACATTTATGACAACTGTGCAAAATTTCATTGGCCTCCTAACTTATATACTTATGAAAAAGAGATTTAGAAAATACATAAAAGCATACCATTACTTAAAATAACAATCGTCAAGTGTTGCTGACTTCAATAGTTACCATGGAAACAAATATTATCCATAGCAACATCCATTCAAAAGCTGTATAAATTGAAAATTATGTAAAAAAATACATATATAGAGGGTGTTTATTTTCGAATTGGAATATGACTGCATGCTTTGCTTCACTCACAGTCTTGTTTGTTTTATTTTCAGAAGGTTCAACAAATGTAATATATAATGTAACATTGGGGTTGGAGGGTCGGGAAAAAAAGAGGGGGCAGGTTTATTTTTTAAATGTTTCATACACGTAGATCCTTGAAAAGATAATTGCGTTTGGTCGGATTTTGTTCAGAGTTCATCATCTGATAATCAATTTATGAAAGTTAACAGACGACGAACTTCATGGGATTGCAATAGCCCAACCTGGCTTATGGTAAGGCAAGATGAATATTGTCCCTTACCGATTGTAAGAAAATTCTTAATTTCTTAGGGCACACACAAGTCTGAGATGTTATCCAACCAGCAAAAATCACAAACTTGACCTGTAACATAATAATAAGCTTACAAACCAAAAAATAGAATCATTTGGTCAAAGCATTTCTAAACTGAAACTGAAGTGTGATGGACGGACGGATAGACGGACAGACCAATTGAACACATTTTAAGTCGTAGGGGACTTAAAAAAATGAATAATCAATTGGAGATCGTTGCTGTCAGAAGTCCAATATAATGGAATCCTCTTAATATATAGCTATAAACATACCATTAATAACTCCTGTTTTGTACTACTTTTCCGCAATTGAAATTCTAGATCTCCGAGATAGACGAATAGGTACATCTGCTAAGTTGGCATTGTGCTAATCCCGGTAAAATAATTATGCTATTTTCGGCAAAATTATATCAGAACAAAATTATTGTACAAAATAATTGTATTAATTATGAATCATTCCTTACTATGCACCGTACTACATATATCTCATAATTTCATGATTCCGGTAACATTAGATTTTTTTTGCAGGGGGGATGGGGTTTAGTTGAAGCACAAATTAAATCCATCTGAAATCCCCCTCCTCTCCTTTTAGATAGTACTCATGTAAAATTAGTTCGTCCCAAAATTGGTTTCCATTTTCTAACTTTAGTTTGCCTCAACCAAATGGTATGAAACATATACACAATGCTTATTACAACAAAACAGAGATCCAATTTTGAATTTTGGTGGCGTCACTTTAACTGTTCCCGAGTTATGCCCGTTTTGCTTTACTTTGCTTTGTTTGATACTTTAAAAACGATTAAAACCGAGAACCAGATCAGTTTAGAACTGTAAAGTTTGCCTAAAATGGCCTGGTTAACTGAAGAAATTTCTAAAAGTGACCATGTGTTCATAGGAGAACCTTTCTGGAGCCCTTTTTTCCCTCTAATACATACCATATAATATGTTCGACTTTTTATATTCTACATTTTTTTTTAAACTAACCCAGCAAAAGAAATTTTTTTCACCTTTTCTCCTATCATGTCAATTACTGCCCCATTTTGTCAATAACTCTGTATCTTTATAGGAGTTCGGGTTAAAGGGTCATCCCGACCGTGTAGAGTAAATGATATATACCGATTCGATTGGCCAATAACTGTTTTAACACATAATAAACGCCACCAACTTACGTGTATGTTTTGGAAATACTGCAATCCACGGCTCCAAGGAACGTTTCTTGTAGGGAAAAAAGGGGGGAATACGCCTTTGTGTAGTAATAAAAGGTTGATAAGTGTTAAATTATTAACTTTTTTATGTTTAGGCTTCTTCCTAAATTGTTACATTACTTGAAGAATTGTGATTTAATGGTAGATTTTTTTTTATCATTTTTGTTAGATTTATTCTCAATTAAGTCTTTATATAAATTAGTAAAGTTAAGAATTTGACATATTGTGTAGACACCTATAAGTACTAGTATTGTTGAAAACTGTATGTTGCCCGCTAGATGTCATTAGATGTTTCTGTCGTTTGATTGCTGTGTTATTGACGTATTACCTCCATCTCCTACAGTTTTAGTTCCATTTTGGTGTACTTTCAAATAGGTGTATGAAAAATCATAACTGAAAGCGTTATTGAATATAGATTAATTGCTTTTCTTTCTCTCAATAATATGCTTAGAGAAAGATGAACCGAGGAGAGATGTACCTAAATTTAGAAAGTTAAATAATCAGAAAAAAAGGTTTAACTTTCAAATCTTAAACTCTCCCTCCCCTTGATTTGACACAGTCACACTTGAATATGATCTTCTTTAAATTCGATCCCAAAATAGTCACTTAATAGGAATAACTATTCAACAAGTCGTAATAAATTCCATTGAGCACAAACACTAATCCAAATCAGATTTCATTTATTTGAATATTCAAAAATGCATTACTTTTTTGGCAGAAATAAGTAAAATAGTTAATATTATCTGGTTTGACTTTGAAGCACTTATTTAAGATTTACACTGTACACAAAATATCAGTCCCTAAGCAAATGGCAAAATCAAAAGCTCAAACACATCAAACGAATGGATAAAAACTGTCATATATTAATTCTGACTTGGTACTGGCATTTTCATATGTAGAAAATAGTAGATTAAACTTGGTTTTATAGGAAACTAAACCTCTCAATTTTCCTTATAAGGATCTATGAAAGATTCAAACAAAAACTACCCACCCTCCACCCCCTCCCCCAAAATGCCACAGTGTATATATTCAATTTGTTGAACCTTCTCAAGGAGCGAAGACAGGACTGTGAGTGAAACAAAGCATAGCATGCAGTTAAATTACCGTTAGAAAATTTTACATTACTTACATAATTATATGTAATTTTTACATAAAATTATATTATATATCTTTTGATTGGGTGTTGTTATGGGTGATATTTGTTACCATGGCAACTGTTGTTAACAATACTTCACAATTGTAGTTTAAAGTAAAAGTATATATATGCTTCTATGTATTTTCTTAAAGGTTTGGTAACAATTGAGAACATTGAAGTCCCTATACTGCAGAATTCAACAAATAATAACTCTCGTTTCCAGGGGAAAAATATGTTGCCACGGTGATAAAATTCAAGAGGGTCCCACGCAATATTCTATTTATTTCGGCCAAGTAGTCTTCAAACTTAGTTACTACAATGCTAGCTAAGCTTTACATATTTGCACTTTTCGGAAAAACACACGAGAAAATTTGATAATTTCACAAAACCCCATGATTCAGAAAAATTGAAAATATGTGTTTTTTAGTATATTCTAACAAAAAATCTAAAAGTTGGATTGAACTGCAATCTTAACTTAAGTGAAGCTTAAACCAAGTTATAGTATTGTTATAAATGAAAATTTATGAAAAAAGTTTGATTCTATTCATAATCAAGCTCTGAATTGTAGTGATTTAGCTGATTTTTCAAAGGTTTTACTACGCTTAACTACCAAAAAATAGAGTGTCCATTACCATGGCAACCACTCATAAATTGATTATCGGATGATAAACTCGGAACAAAATCCAACCAAACGTTGCAGCAATTATCGTTTACAGGATCAACATGTATGAAAATTTTTAAAAAATAAACCTACCCCCCCTTTTTTTCCAAAACCCTCCAACCCCAATGTAATATTATGTATTACATTTGTTGAACCTTCAGACAAGACTGTAAGTGAAGCAAAGCATGCATTCATATTCCAATTTGAAAATGAACGCCCTCTATATATGTATTTTTTTACATACATTTCCATTCAATCATTTTATAATGGATGTTGCTATGCATTATATGTGTTTCCATGGTAATTATTGAAGTCAGCAACACTTGACGATGGTAATTTAGAGTCAGTGTTTGCTTTTATGTATTTTTTTATCAGTTATGAAACAATTAACGACATTAAAGTTCTTAAACTGCAATATTCTGCATATAATAACTCCGTTTCCAAGGAAAAAATCGGTTGCTATGGTGATAAAATTAAAGAGAGTCCCACGCATTTTTCTATTTATTTTGCTAAAGTAGTATTCAAACTTAATAACTACAGTGCTAACTATGCTGGACACATTTGCACTTTTATGAAAAACACTCGAGAAAATTTGATAATTTCACAAAAATCTATAATTTAGAAAAGTTGAAAATATTCATTTTTTGGTAAATTTTTTCAAAAATTTACAAATTTGGTTGACATGCAATCTTAACTAAAATGAAGCTTAAACCAAGTTGTATCAATGTTAAATATGAAAATTTATGAAAAAAAAGTGTGATTCTATTCATAATCAGGCTCTGAATTGTAGTGATTTAGCTGATTTTTGAAAGATTTTACCACGCTTAAGTACCAAAAAATAGAGTGTCCGTTACTATGGCAACCACTCATATTTTCCTACTCAAATTTATTTTTTGAGCAGTATTCAGCTACTGTTTCTACTAGGCCATTTATAGATAAAATCTGAAACCCTCAAATATCACATGTATATGGCACTCTGTCTGGTTCTTATACAGAGCTGTACTTAATACGTTAGAATATACCATTTCGACACTTGCAAAATAAACAGACATACTTAAATGTTACTTTCGTTGCAAGGAATGGAAAACATCTTGTTAATTATGGCGAAAAATGTTTAAGGCGAGTGGAACGTGTGATTCGATTTATAATTGAAATTCCTATTTCAATTGATTTACATGTGACTTAGCAGGGTAATAATATGAATTGTAATAAAAATAAAACTGAAATAAACAAATGTTGATACCTACCATCCGATCCTGGATTTCCTGGAGTTCCTGGAAGAAAGAGAATATACATGTAAAATGAAATCATTTCATTAATATCAAAGACATATCTATTTCTAGACTCTAGCATATCTATTATCTAAAGTGATATGACATTTGCCGTATTCCTCATTTCTCTTAATACGTTAAAATATACCATTTCGACACTTGCAAAACTAAACAGGCATATTGTAATGCTACTTTTGTTGCAAGGAATGGAAAACACCTGGTTAATAATGGCGAAAAATGTTTAAGGCGAGTGGAACGTGTGATTGCAATTTTAATTTAAATTCCTATTTCAATTGATTTACATGTGACCTAGCAGGGTAATAATATAAATTGTCATCAAAATGCAACTGAAATACACAAATGTTGATACATACCATCCGATCCTGGAGTTCCTGGAGCTCCAGGAAGAAAGAGAATATACTTGTAAAATCAAATCATTTCATTAATATCAAAGACATATATATTTTTAGACTCTAGCATATCTATTATATATTTTTTTTACATGTAAAACATATCTTTTTCACAACGCTTGCAAAATTGAACAAACATTGTTAAATTGTACTTCCGGTGCAAGAAATTGAAAAAATACTGTTGATTATAGCTCAACAGTTTTCAGACGAGTGGAACGTTTGATTGCAACTTTAATTGAAATTCCTATTTCACATGATTTACATGTGACTTAGCAGGAAAATAAAGATAAATTGTAACCAGAATGTAATTGATATACACGAATGTTGATACGTACCATCCGTTCCGTTAGGTCCTGGTGGTCCTGCAAGTAAGAGAAGATCGAATATAATAAGAACAATACTATAAAAACAAACTTTTTTAAAACTCTTGATTTTTTTCTTGTTATAGTGGTTTGACAGATAACATATCCGTTTTTTCTCTCAATATTTGAGAAAAATATCTTCTATCGATTCATAATTGATTGTGGGGTTCCAACTTTGGTGGATTTTGTGGGTATACGTGAAGCACGAATTCTAATATTAAACGAAGTACACATCTTATTTAGACTTTTATGCAGACTTTGGCATAACTACAAAATCAAATATCTACGAAAACACAATTATTCCTCAATTGACAAAATTCGGTACCCACGAAAAATAAATGAATCCGTGGAAGGTGTTTACAAATTAAACAGACTAGCTTGAATCGTATTGTGGGAGTAAGAAATAAATGATTTGCTTATAATGGTTAAAGATGTTTACGTGAGTGAAACGTTCGATTTGAACTTTAACTATTACTTCCTCTTCAAATGATTTACATGTACCTTGTAATAAAAAGGATGAATTGCTACTAGAATGCAATTGATATATACAAATATTGATACATACCATACCCGCCCCTAGGTCCTGGTTGTCCTGGAAGAAAGAGATGATAGCTATATAGACTGCCATCATTTGATCAATATGAAAGACATGACCTTTTGTAGACTCTAGAAAATCTATTATTTAAAGTGGTTGGACATTTGCCGTTATTCCTCATTTCTCTTAACATGTTAGAACATATCTTGTAGACGCAAGCAAAATTAAACAGACTTAATTAAATATTACTTACGTTGACAGAAATTGCAAAAAACACTGTTCATTATAGCTCAACAGTTTTAAGACAAGTGGAATTTTTGATCGCAATTTACATGTTAATTAGCAGGATAATAATAAAAATTGTAAACAAAATAAAATTGTAATACACAAATGTTGATACAAACCATCCGATCCTGGAATTCCTGGAAGAAAGAGAAGATACATGTAGAATGAAATATTTTTTTTTTTAATATCAAAGACATGTCTTTTTCTAGACTCTACCATATATATTATCAAAAGTGGTCTGACATTTTGCGTATTCCTCATTTCTCTTAATATGTTACAATATATCATTTCGACACTTGCAAACAAACAGACATACTTAAATGTTACTTTCGTTGAAAGGAATGGAAAACATCTTGTTAATTATGGCGAAAAATGTTTAAGGCGAGTAGAACATGTGATTGCAATTTTAATTGAAAATTCCTATTTATATTGATTTACATGTGACTTATCAGGGTAATAATATGAATTGTAATAAAAATAAAACTGAAATACACAAATGTTGATACCTACCATCCGATCCTGGATCTCCTGGAGTTCCTAGAAGAAAGAGAATATACATGTAAAATGAAATCATTTCATTAATATCAAAGACATATCTATTTCTAGACTCTAGCATATCTATTATCTAAAGTGGTTTGACATTTGCCGTTTTCCTCATTTCTCTTAATACATTAGAATATACCATTTCGATACTTGCAAAACTAAACAGGCATACTTTAATGTTACTTTCGTTGCAAGGAAAAAAAAACCTTGTTAATTATGGCAAAAAATGTGTAAGGCGAGTGGAACGTGTGATTGCAATTATAATTGAAATTCCTATTTCAATTGAATTACATGTGACTTAGCAGGGTAATAATATGAATTGTAATAAAAATAAAACTGAAATACACAAATGTTGATACCTACCATCCGATCCTGGATTTCCTGGAGTTCCTGGAAGAAAGAGAATATACATGTAAAATGAAATCATTTCATTAATATCAAAGACATATCTATTTCTAGACTCTAGCATATCTATTATCTAAAGTGGTTTGACATTTGCCGTATTCCTCATTTCTCTTAATACGTTAGAATATACCATTTCGACACTTGCAAAACTAAACAGGCATACTTTAATGTTACTTTCGTTGCAAGGAATGGAAAACATCTTGTTAATTATGGCGAAAAATGTTTAAGGCGAGTGGAACGTGTGATTGCAATTTTAATTGAAATTCCTATTTCAATTGATTTACATGTGACTTTGCAGGGTAATAATATAAATTGTCATCAAAATGCAACTGAAATACACAAATGTTGATACATACCATCCGATCCTGGAGTTCCTGGAGTTCCTGGAAGAAAGAGAATATACATGTAAAATGAAATCATTTAATTAATATCAAAGACATATCTATTTCTAGACTATAGCATATCTATTAATGATTTTTTTTACAAGTAAAACATATCTTTTTGACGACGCTTGCAAAATTCAACAAACATTGTTAAATGGTACTTCCGGTGCAAGAAATTGAAAGAATACTGTTGATTATAGCTCAACAGTTTTCAGACGAGTGGAACGTATGATTACAACTTTAATTGAAATTCCTATTTCACATAATTTACATGTAACTTAGCAGGGAAATAAAGATAGATTGTAACCAGAATGTAATTGATATACACGAATGTTTATACGTACCATCCGTTCCGTTAGGTCCTGGTGGTCCTGCAAGTAAGAGAAGATCGAATATAATAAGTACAATACTATAAAAACAAACTTTTTTAAAAATCTTGATTTTTTTCTTGTTATAGTGGTGTGACAGAAAACATAATCGTTGTTTCAGAAAAATATCTTCTATGGATTCATAATTGATTGTGGGGTTCCAACTTTGGTGGATTTTGTGGGTATACGTGAAGCACGAATTCAAATATTAAACGAAGTACACATCTTATTTAGACTTTTATGCAGACTTTGGCATAACCACAAAATCAAATATCTACGAACACACAATTATTCCTCAATTGACAAAATTCGGTACCCACGAAAAATAAATGAATCCGTGGAAGGTGTTTACAAATTAAACAGACTAGCTTGAATCGTATTGTGGGAGTTAGAAATAAATGATTTGCTTATAATGGTTAAAGATGTTTAAGTGAGTAAAACGTTCGATTTGAACTTTAACTATAACTTCCTCTTCAAATGATTTACATGTACCTTGTAATAAAAAGATTGAATTGCTACTAGAATGCAATTGATATATACGAATATTGATACATACCATACCCGCCCCTAGGTCCTGGTTGTCCTGGAAGAAAGAGATGATAGACTGCCATCATTTGACCAATATGAAAGACATGACCTTTTGTAGACTCTAGAAAATCTATTATTTAAAGTAGTTGACCATTTGCTTTTATTGCTCATTTCTCTTAACATGTTAGAACATATCTTGTAGACGCAAGGAAAATTGAACAGACTTACTTAACTATTACTTCCGTTGAAAAAAATTGAAAAAAACCCTGTTCATTATAGCTCAACAGTTTTAAGACAAGTGGAATGTTTGATTGCAATTTACATGTTAATTAGCAGGGTAATAATATAAATTGTAATCAAAATAAAACTGTAATACACAAATGTTAATACAAACCATCCGATCCTGGAATTCCTGGAAGAAAGAGAAGATACATATAGAATGAAATATTTTTTTTTTTAATATCAAAGACATGTCTTTTTCTAGACTCTACCATTTATATTATCAAAAGTGGTCTGACATTTTGCGTATTCCTCATTTCTCTTAATATGTTAGAATATATCATTTCGACACTTGCAAAATAAACAGACATACTTAAATGTTACTTTCGTTGCAAGGAAAAAAAAAACACCTTGTTAATTATGGCAAAAAATGTTTAAGGCGAGTGGAACGTGTGATTGCAATTTTAATTGAAATTCCTATTTCAATTGATTTACATGTGACTTAGCAGGGTAATAATATGAATTGTAATAAAAATAAAACTGAAATACACAAATGTTGATACCTACCATCCGATCCTGGATTTCCTTGAGTTCCTGGAAGAAAGAGAATATACATGTAAAATGAAATCATTTCATTAATGTCAGAGACATATCTATTTCTAGACTTTAGCATATCTATTATTTAAAGTGGTTTGACATTTGCCGTATTCCTCATTCTCTTAATACGTTAGAATATACAATTTCGACACTTGCAAAACTAAACAGGCATACTTTAATGTTACTTTCGTTGCAAGGAATGGAAAACACCTTGTTACTTATGGCGAAAAATGTTTAAGGCGAGTGGAACGTGTGATTGCAATTTTAATTTAAATTCCTATTTCAGTTGATTTACATGTGACTTAGCAGGGTAATAATATAAATTGTAATAAAAATAAAACTGAAATACACAAATATTGATACCTACCATCCGATCCTGGATTTCCTGGAGTTCCTGGAAGAAAGAGAATTTACATGTAAAATGAAATCATTTCATTAATATCAAAGACATATCTATTTCTAGACTCTAGCATATCTATTATCTAAAGTGGTTTGACATTTGCCGTATTCCTCATTTCTCTTAATACGTTAGAATATACCATTTCGACACTTGCAAAACTAAACAGGCATACTTTAATGTTACTTTCGTTGCAAGGAATGGAAAACATCTTGTTAATTATGGCGAAAAATGTTTAAGGCGAGTGGAACGTGTGATTGCAATTTTAATTGAAATTCCTATTTCAATTGATTTACATGTGACTTAGCAGGGTAATAATATAAATTGTCATCAAAATGCAACTGAAATACACAAATGTTGATACATACCATCCGATCCTGGAGTTCCTGGAGTTCCTGGAAGAAAGAGAATATACATGTAAAATGAAATCTTTTAATTAATATCAAAGACATATCTATTTCTAGACTATAGCATATCTATTAATGATTTTTTTTTACAAGTAAAACATATCTTTTTGACGACGCTTGCAAAATTCAACAAACATTGTTAAATGGTACTTCCGGTGCAAGAATTTGAAAAAATACTGTTGATTATAGCTCAACAGTTTTCAGACGAGTGGAACGTATGATTACAACTTTAATTGAAATTCCTATTTCACATAATTTACATGTAACTTAGCAGGGAAATAAAGATAGATTGTAACCAGAATGTAATTGATATACACGAATGTGACTTATCAGGGTAATAATATAAATTGTCATCAAAATGCAACTGAAATACACAAATGTTGATACATACCATCCGATCCTGGAGTTCCTGGAGTTCCTGGAAGAAAGAGAATATATATGTAAAATGAAATCATTTAATTAATATCAAAGACATATCTATTTCTAGACTATAGCATATCTATTAATGATTTTTTTTTACAAGTAAAACATATCTTTTTGACGACGCTTGCAAAATTCAACAAACATTGTTAAATGGTACTTCCGGTGCAAGAATTTGAAAAAATACTGTTGATTATAGCTCAACAGTTTTCAGACGAGTGGAACGTATGATTACAACTTTAATTGAAATTCCTATTTCACATAATTTACATGTAACTTAGCAGGGAAATAAAGATAGATTGTAACCAGAATGTAATTGATATACACGAATGTTTATACGTACCATCCGTTCCGTTAGGTCCTGGTGGTCCTGCAAGTAAGAGAAGATCGAATATAATAAGTACAATACTATAAAAACAAACTTTTTTAAAAATCTTGATTTTTTTCTTGTTATAGTGGTGTGACAGAAAACATAATCGTTATTTCAGAAAAATATCTTCTATGGATTCATAATTGATTGTGGGGTTCCAACTTAGGTGGATTTTGTGGGTATACGTGAAGCACGAATTCAAATATTAAACGAAGTACACATCTTATTTAGACTTTTATGCAGACTTTGGCATAACCACAAAATCAAATATCTACTAACACACAATTATTCCTCAATTGACAAAATTCGGTACCCACGAAAAATAAATGAATCCGTGGAAGGTGTTTACAAATTAATCAGACTAGCTTGAATCGTATTGTGGGAGTTAGAAATAAATGATTTGCTTATAATGGTTAAAGATGTTTAAGTGAGTAAAACGTTCGATTTGAACTTTAACTATAACTTCCTCTTCAAATGATTTACATGTACCTTGTAATAAAAAGATTGAATTGCTACTAGAATGCAATTGATATATACGAATATTGATACATACCATACCCGCCCCTAGGTCCTGGTTGTCCTGGAAGAAAGAGATGATAGACTGCCATCATTTGACCAATATGAAAGACATGACCTTTTGTAGACTCTAGAAAATCTATTATTTAAAGTAGTTGACCATTTGCTTTTATTGCTCATTTCTCTTAACATGTTAGAACATATCTTGTAGACGCAAGGAAAATTGAACAGACTTACTTAACTATTACTTCCGTTGAAAAAAATTGAAAAAAACCCTGTTCATTATAGCTCAACAGTTTTAAGACAAGTGGAATGTTTGATTGCAATTTACATGTTAATTAGCAGGGTAATAATATAAATTGTAATCAAAATAAAACTGTAATACACAAATGTTAATACAAACCATCCGATCCTGGAATTCCTGGAAGAAAGAGAAGATACATATAGAATGAAATATTTTTTTTTTTAATATCAAAGACATGTCTTTTTCTAGACTCTACCATTTATATTATCAAAAGTGGTCTGACATTTTGCGTATTCCTCATTTCTCTTAATATGTTAGAATATATCATTTCGACACTTGCAAAATAAACAGACATACTTAAATGTTACTTTCGTTGCAAGGAAAAAATAAACACCTTGTTAATTATGGCAAAAAATGTTTAAGGCGAGTGGAACGTGTGATTGCAATTTTAATTGAAATTCCTATTTCAATTGATTTACATGTGACTTAGCAGGGTAATAATATGAATTGTAATAAAAATAAAACTGAAATACACAAATGTTGATACCTACCATCCGATCCTGGATTTCCTTGAGTTCCTGGAAGAAAGAGAATATACATGTAAAATGAAATCATTTCATTAATGTCAGAGACATATCTATTTCTAGACTTTAGCATATCTATTATTTAAAGTGGTTTGACATTTGCCGTATTCCTCATTCTCTTAATACGTTAGAATATACCATTTCGACACTTGCAAAACTAAACAGGCATACTTTAATGTTACTTTCGTTGCAAGGAATGGAAAACACCTTGTTAATTATGGCGAAAAATGTTTAAGGCGAGTGGAACGTGTGATTGCAATTTTAATTTAAATTCCTATTTCAGTTGATTTACATGTGACTTAGCAGGGTAATAATATAAATTGTCATCAAAATGCAACTGAAATACACAAATGTTGATACATACCATCCGATCCTGGAGTTCCTGGAAGAAAGAGAATATACTTGTAAAATTAAATCATTTCATTAATATCAAAGACATATCTATATTTAGACTATAACATATCTATTATCTATTTTTTTTACATGTTAAACATATCTTCTTGACGACGCTTGCAAAATTGAACAAACATTGTTAAATGGTACTTCCGGTGCAAGAAATTGAAAAAATACTGTTGATTATAGCTCAACAGTTTTCAGACGAGTGGAACGTTTGATTGCAACTTTAATTGAAATTCCTATTTCACATGATTTACATGTGACGTAGCAGGGAAATAAAGATAAATTGTAACCAGATCGTAATTGATATACACGAATGTTGATACGTACCATCCGTTCCGTTAGGTCCTGGTGGTCCTGCAAGTAAGAGAAGATCGAATATAATAAGTACAATACTATAAAAACAAACTTTTTTAAAAATCTTGATTTTTTTCTTGCTATAGTGGTTTGACAGATAACATAATCGTTTTTTCTTTCAATATTTCAGAAAAATATCTTCTATGGATTCATAATTGATTGTGGGGTTCCAACTTTGGTGGATTTTGTGGGTATACGTGAAGCACGAATTCTGATATTAAACGAAGTACACATCTTATTTAGACTTTTATGCAGACTTTGGCATAACCACAAAATCAAATATCTACGAAAACACAATTATTCCTCAATTGACAAAATTCGGTACCCACGAAAAATAAATGAATCCGTGGAAGGTGTTTACAAATAAAACAGACTAGCTTGAATCGTATTGTGGGAGTTAGAAATAAATGATTTGCTTATAATGGTTAAAGATGTTTAAGTGAGTAAAACGTTCGATTTGAACTTTAACTATAACTTCCTCTTCAAATGATTTACATGTACCTTGTAATAAAAAGATTGAATTGCTACTAGAATGCAATTGATATATACGAATATTGATACATACCATACCCGCCCCTAGGTCCTGGTTGTCCTGGAAGAAAGAGATGATAGACTGCCATCATTTGATCAATATGAAAGACATGACCTTTTGTAGACTCTAGAAAATCTATTATTTAAAGTGGTTGGACATTTGCCGTTATTCCTCATTTCTCTTAACATGTTAGAACATATCTTGTAGACACAAGCAAAATTGAACAGACTTACTTAAATATTACGTACGTTGAAAGAAATTGAAAAAAACCCTGCTCATTATAGCTCAACAGTTTTAAGACAACTGGAATTTTTGATTGCAATTTACATGTTAATTAGCAGGGTAATAATATCAATTGTAATCAAAATAAAACTGTAATACACAAATGTTAATACAAACCATCCGATCCTGGAATTCCTGGAAGAAAGAGAAGATACATGTAGAATGAAATCTGTTTTTATTAATATCAAAGACATGTCTTTTTCTAGACTCTACCATATATATTATCTAAAGTGGTCTGACATTTTGCGTATTCCTCATTTCTCTTAATATGTTAGAATATATCATTTCGACACTTGCAAAATAAACAGACATACTTAAATGTTACTTTCGTCGAAAGGAATGGAAAACATCTTGTTAATTATGGCGAAAAGTGTTTAAGGCGAGTAGAACATGTGATTGCAATTTTAATTGAAATTCCTATTTATATTGATTTACACGTGACTTAGCAGGGTAATAATATGAATTGTAATAAAAATAAAACTGAAAAACACAAATGTTGATACCTACCATCCGATCCTGGAGTTCCTGGAGTTCCTGGAAGAAAGAGAATATACATGTAAAATGAAATCATTTCATTAATATCAAAGATATGTCTATTTCTAGACTCTAGCATATCTATTATCTAAAGTGGTTTGACATTTGCCGTATTCCTCATTTCTCTTAATACGTTAGAATATATCATTTCGACACTTGCAAAATAAACAGACATACTTAAATGCTACTTTCGTTGCAAGGAATGGAAAACATCTTGTTAATTATAGCGAAAAATGTTTAAGGCGAGTGAAACATGTGATTGCAATTTTAATTGAAATTCCTATTTCAATTGATTTACATGTAAATTAGCAGGGTAATAATATGAATTGTAATAAAAAATAAAACTGAAATACACAAATGTTGATACCTACCATCCGATCCTTGATTTCCTGGAGTTCCTGGAAGAAAGAGAATATACATGTAAAATGAAATCATTTCATTAATATCAAAGACATATCTATTTCTAGACTCTAGCATATCTATTATCTAAAGTGGTTTGACATTTGCCGTATTCTTCATTTCTCTTAATACGTTAGAATATACCATTTCGACACTTGCAAAACTAAACAGGCATATTTTAATGCTACTTTTGTTGCAAGGAATGGAAAACACCTTGTTAATTATGGCGAAAAATGTTTAAGGCGAGTGGAACGTGTGATTGCAATTTTAATTCAAATTCCTATTTCAATTGATTTACATGTGACTTAGCAGGGTAATAATATAAATTGTCATCAAAATGCAACTGAAATACACAAATGTTGATACATACCATCTGATCCTGGAGTTCCTGGAGTTCCTGGAAGAAAGAGAATATACATGTAAAATTAAATCATTTAATTAATATCAAAGACATATCTATTTCTAGACTCTAGCATATCTATTATCTAAAGTGGTTTGACATTTGCCGTATTCTTCATTTCTCTTTATACGTTAGAATATACCATTTCGACACTTGCAAAACTAAACAGGCATATTTTAATGCTACTTTTGTTGCAAGGAATGGAAAACACCTTGTTAATTATGGCGAAAAATGTGTAAGGCGAGTGGAACGTGTGATTGCAATTTTAATTCAAATTCCTATTTCAATTTATTTACATGTGACTTAGCAGGGTAATAATATAAATTGTCATCAAAATGCAACTGAAATAAATAAATGTTGATACATACCATCCGATCCTGGATTTCCTGGAGTTCCTGGAAGAAAGAGAATATACATGTAAAATGAAATCATTTAATTAATATCAAAGACATATCTATTTCTAGTCGACTCTAGCATATCTATTATCTAAAGTGGTTTTACATTTGCCGTATTCCTCATTTCTCTTAATACGTTAGAATATACCATTTCGACACTTACAAAACTAAACAGGCATATTTTAATGCTACTTTTGTTGCAAGGAATGGAAAACACCTTGTTAATTATAGCGAAAAATGTGTAAGGCGAGTGGAACGTGTGATTGCAATTTTAATTCAAATTCCTATTTCAATTTATTTACATGTGACTTAGCAGGGTAATAATATAAATTGTCATCAAAATGCAACTGAAATAAATAAATGTTGATACATACCATCCGATCCTGGATTTCCTGGAGTTCCTGGAAGAAAGAGAATATACATGTAAAATGAAATCATTTAATTAATATCAAAGACATATCTATTTCTAGTCGACTCTAGCATATCTATTATCTAAAGTGGTTTTACATTTGCCGTATTCCTCATTTCTCTTAATACGTTAGAATATACCATTTCGACACTTACAAAACTAAACCGGCATACCTTAATGTTACTTTCGTTGCAAGGAATGGAAAACACCTTGTCAATTATGTCGAAAAATGTTTAAGGCGAGTAGAACGTGTGATTGCAATTTTAATTGAAATTCCTATTTCAATTTATTTACATGTGACTTAGCAGGATAATAATATGAATTGTAATAAAAATAAAACTGAAATACACAAATATTGATACCTACCATCCGATCCTGGATTTCCTGGAGTTCCTGGAAGAAATAGAATATACTTGTAAAATTAAATCATTTCATTAATATCAAAGACATATCTATTTCTAGACTCTAGCATATCTATTATCTAAAGTGGTTTGACATTTGCCGTATTCCTCATTTCTCTTAATACGTTAGAATAGATCATTTCGACACTTGCAAAATAAACAGACATACTTAAATGTTTCTTTCGTTGCAAGGAATGGAAAACATCTTGTTAATTATGGCGAAAAATGTTTAAAGCGAGTGGAACGTGTGATTGCAATATCAATTGAAATTCCTATTTCAATTGATTTACATGTGACTTAGCAGGGTAATAATATGAATTGTAATAAAAATAAAACTGAAATACACAAATGTTGATACCTACCATCCGATCCTGGAGTTCCTGGAGTTCCTGGAAGAAAGAGAATATACATGTAAAATGAAATCATTTCATTAATATCAAACACATATCTATTTCTAGACTCTAGCATATCTATTATCTAAAGTGGTTTGACATTTGCCGTTTTCCTCATTTCTCTTAATACGTTAGAATATACCATTTCGATACTTGCAAAACTAAACAAGCATACTTTGATGTTACTTTCGTTACAAGGAAAGGAAAACACCTTGTTAATTATGGCGAAAAATGTTTAAGGCGAGTAGAACGTGTGATTGCAATTTTAATTGAAATTCCTATTTCAATTGATTTACATGTGACTTAGCAGGGTAATAATATGAATTGTAATAAAAATAAAACTGAAATACACAAATGTTGATACCTACCATCCGATCCTGGATTTCCTTGAGTTCCTGGAAGAAAGAGAATATACATGTAAAATGAAATCATTTCATTAATATCAAAGACATATCTATTTCTAGACTCTAGCATATCTATTATCTAAAGTTGTTTGACATTTGCCGTTTTCCTCATTTCTCTTAATACGTTAGAATATACCATTTCGATACTTGCAAAACTAAACAGGCATACTTTAATGTATTTCGTTGCAAAGAAAAAAAAAACATCTTGTTAATTATGGCGAAAAATGATTAAGGCGAGTGGAACGTGTGATTGCAATTATAATTGAAATTCCTATTTCAATTGATTTACATGTGACTTAGCAGGGTAATAATATGAATTGTAATAAAAAATAAAACTGAAATACACAAATGTTGATACATACCATCCGATCCTGGAGTTCCTGGAGTTCCTGGAAGAAAGAGAATATACATGTAAAATGAAATCATTTAATTAATATCAAAGACATATCTATTTCTAGACTCTAGCATATCTATTATCTAAAGTGGTTTGACATTTGCCGTATTCTTCATTTCTCTTAATACGTTAGAATACACCATTTCGACACTTGCAAAACTAAACAGGCATATTTTAATGCTACTTTTGTTGCAAGGAATGGAAAACACCTTGTTAATTATGGCGAAAAATGTTTAAGGCGAGTGGAACGTGTGATTGCAATTTTAATCAAATTCCTATTTCAGTTGATTTACATGTGACTTAGCAGGGTAATAATATAAATTGTCATCAAAATGCAACTGAAATACACAAATGTTGATACATACCATCTGATCCTGGAGTTCCTGGAGTTCCTGGAAGAAAGAGAATATACATGTAAAATTAAATCATTTAATTAATATCAAAGACATATCTATTTCTAGACTCTAGCATATCTATTATCTAAAGTAGCTTGACATTTGCCGTATTCTTCATTTCTCTTAATACGTTAGAATATACCATTTCGACACTTGCAAAACTAAACAGGCATATTTTAATGCTACTTTTGTTGCAAGGAATGGAAAACACCTTGTTAATTATGGCGAAAAATGTTTAAGGCGAGTGGAACGTGTAATTGCAATTTTATTTCAAATTCCTATTTCAATTGATTTACATGTGACTTAGCAGGGTAATAATATAAATTGTCATCAAAATGCAACTGAAATAAATAAATGTTGATAAATACCATCCGATCCTGGAGTTCCTGGAGTTCCTGGAAGAAAGAGAATATACATGTAAAATGAAATCATTTAATTAATATCAAAGACATATCTATTTCTTGTCGACTTTAGCATATCTATTATCTAAAGTGGTTTTACATTTGCCGTATTCCTCATTTCTCTTAATACGTTAGAATATATCATTTCGACACTTGCAAAATAAACAGACATACTTAAATGCTACTTTCGTTGCAAGGAATGGAAAACATCTTGTTAATTATGGCGAAAAATGTTTAAAGCGAGTGGAACATGTGATTGCAATTTTAATTGAAATTCCTATTTCAATTGATTTACATGTAAATTAGCAGGGTAATAATATGAATTGTAATAAAAAATAAAACTGAAATACACAAATGTTGATACCTACCATCCGATCCTTGATTTCCTGGAGTTCCTGGAAGAAAGAGAATACACATGTAAAATGAAATCATTTCATTAATATCAAAGACATATCTATTTCTAGACTCTAGCATATCTATTATCTAAAGTGGTTTGACATTTGCCGTTTTCCTCATTTCTCTTAATACGTTAGAATATACCATTTCGATACTTGCAAAACTAAACAGGCATACTTTAATGTATTTCGTTGCAAGGAAAAAAAACACCTTGTTAATTATGGCAAAAAATGTTTAAGGCGAGTGGAACGTGTGATCGGAATTATAATTGAAATTGCTATTTCAATTGATTTACATGTGACTTAGCAGGGTAATAATATGAATTGTAATAAAAATAAAACTGAAATACACAAATGTTGATACCTACCATCCGATCCTGGATTTCCTGGACTTCCTGGAAGAAAGAGAATATACATGTAAAATGAAATCATTTCATTAATATCAAAGACATATCTATTTCTAGACTCTAGCGTAACTATTATCTAAAGTGGTTTGACATTTGCCGTATTCCTCATTTCTCTTAATACGTTAAAATATATCATTTCGACACTTGCAAAATAAACAGACATACTTAAATGCTACTTTCGTTGCAAGGAATGGAAAACATCTTGTTAATTATGGCGAAAAATGATTAAGGCGAGTGGAACGTGTGATTGCAATTATAATTGAAATTCCTATTTCAATTGATTTACATGTGACTTAGCAGGGTAATAATATGAATTGTAATAAAAATAAAACTGAAATACACAAATGTTGATACATACCATCCGATCCTGGAGTTCCTGGAGTTCCTGGAAGAAAGAGAATATACATGTAAAATGAAATCATTTAATTAATATCAAAGACATATCTATTTCTAGACTCTAGCATATCTATTATCTAAAGTGGTTTGACATTTGCCGTATTCTTCATTTCTCTTAATACGTTAGAATATACCATTTCGACACTTGCAAAACTAAACAGGCATATTTTAATGCTACTTTTGTTGCAAGGAATGGAAAACACCTTCTTAATTATGGCGAAAAATGTTTAAGGCGAGTGGAACGTGTGATTGCAATTTTAATTCAAATTCCTATTTCAATTGATTTACATGTGACTTAGCAGGGAAATAATATAAATTGTCATCAAAATGCAACTGAAATACACAAATGTTGATACATACCATCTGATCCTGGAGTTCCTGGAGTTCCTGGAAGTAAGAGAATATACATGTAAAATTAAATCATTTAATTAATATCAAAGACATATCTATTTCTAGACTCTAGCATATCTATTATCTAAAGTAGTTTGACATTTGCCGTATTCTTCATTTCTCTTAATACGTTAGAATATACCATTTCGACACTTGCAAAACTAAACAGGCATATTTTAATGCTACTTTTGTTGCAAGGAATGGAAAACACCTTGTTAATTATGGTGAAAAATGTTTAAGGCGAGTGGAACGTGTGATTGCAATTATAATTGAAATTCCTATTTCAATTGATTTACATGTGACTTAGCAGGGTAATAATATAAATTGTCATCAAAATACAACTGAAATAAATAAATGTTGATACATACCATCCGATCCTGGAGTTCCTGGAGTTCCTGGAAGAAAGAGAATATACATGTAAAATGAAATCATTTAATTAATATCAAAGACATATCTATTTCTAGTCGACTCTAGCATATCTATTATCTAAAGTGGTTTTACATTTGCTGTATTCCTCATTTCTCTTAATACGTTAGAATATATCATTTCGACACTTGCAAAATAAACAGACATACTTAAATGCTACTTTCGTTGCAAGGAATGGAAAACATCTTGTTAATTATGGCGAAAAATGTTTAAGGCGAGTGGAACATGTGATTGCAATTTTAATTGAAATTCCTATTTCAATTGATTTACATGTAAATTAGCAGGGTAATAATATGAATTGTAATAAAAAATAAAACTGAAATACACAAATGTTGATACCTACCATCCGATCCTTGATTTCCTGGAGTTCCTGGAAGAAAGAGAATATACATGTAAAATGAAATCATTTAATTAATATCAAAGACATATCTATTTCTAGTCGACTCTAGCATATCTATTATCTAAAGTGGTTTTACATTTGCCGTATTCCTCATTTCTCTTAAAACGTTAGAATATATCATTTCGACACTTGCAAAATAAACAGACATACTTAAATGCTACTTTCGTTGCAAGGAATGGAAAACATCTTGTTAATTATGGCGAAAAATGTTTAAGGCGAGTGGAACATGTGATTGCAATTTTAATTGAAATTCCTATTTCAATTGATTAACATGTAAATTAGCAGGGTAATAATATGAATTGTAATAAAAATAAAACTGAAATACACAAATGTTCATACATACCATCCGATCCTGGAGTTCCTGGAGTTCCTGGAAGAAAGAGAATATACATGTAAAATGAAATCATTTAATTAATATCAAAGACATATCTATTTCTAGACTCTAGCATATCTATTATCTAAAGTGGTTTGACATTTGCCGTATTCTTCATTTCTCTTAATACGTTAGAATATACCATTTCGACACTTGCAAAACTAAACAGGCATATTTTCATGCTACTTTTGTTGCAAGGAATGGAAAACACCTTGTTAATTATGGCGAAAAATGTTTAATGCGAGTGGAACGTGTGATTGCAATTTTAATTCAAATTCCTATTTCAATTGATTTACATGTGACTTAGCAGGGTAATAATATAAATTGTCATCAAAATGCAACTGAAATACACAAATGTTGATACATACCATCTGATCCTGGAGTTCCTGGAGTTCCTGGAAGAAAGAGAATATACATGTAAAATTAAATCATTTAATTAATATCAAAGACATATCTATTTCTAGACTCTAGCATATCTATTATCTAAAGTAGTTTGACATTTGCCGTATTCTTCATTTCTCTTAATACGTTAGAATATACCATTTCGACACTTGCAAAACTAAACAGGCATATTTTAATGCTACTTTTGTTGCAAGGAATGGAAAACACCTTGGTAATTATGGCAAAAAATGTTTAGGGCGAGTGGAACGTGTGATTGCAATTATAATTGAAATTCCTATTTCAATTGATTTACATGTGACTTAGCAGGGTAATAATATAAATTGTCATCAAAATGCAACTGAAATAAATAAATGTTGATACATACCATCCGATCCTGGAGTTCCTGGAGTTCCTGGAAGAAAGAGAATATACATGTAAAATGAAATCATTTAATTAATATCAAAGACATATCTATTTCTAGTCGACTCTAGCATATCTATTATCTAAAGTGGTTTTACATTTGCCGTATTCCTCATTTCTCTTAATACGTTAGAATATATCATTTCGACACTTGCAAAATAAACAGACATACTTAAATGCTACTTTCGTTGCAAGGAATGGAAAACATCTTGTTAATTATGGCGAAAAATGTTTAAGGCGAGTGGAACATGTGATTGCAATTTTAATTGAAATTCCTATTTCAATTGATTTACATGTAAATTAGCAGGGTAATAATATGAATTGTAATAAAAAATAAAACTGAAATACACAAATGTTGATACCTACCATCCGATCCTTGATTTCCTGGAGTTCCTGGAAGAAAGAGAATATACATGTAAAATGAAATCATTTAATTAATATCAAAGACATATCTATTTCTAGTCGACTCTAGCATATCTATTATCTAAAGTGGTTTTACATTTGCCGTATTCCTCATTTCTCTTAAAACGTTAGAATATATCATTTCGACACTTGCAAAATAAACAGACATACTTAAATGCTACTTTCGTTGCAAGGAATGGAAAACATCTTGTTAATTATGGCGAAAAATGTTTAAGGCGAGTGGAACATGTGATTGCAATTTTAATTGAAATTCCTATTTCAATTGATTAACATGTAAATTAGCAGGGTAATAATATGAATTGTAATAAAAATAAAACTGAAATACACAAAAGTTGATACATACCATCTGATCCTGGAGTTCCTGGAGTTCCTGGAAGAAAGAGAATATACATGTAAAATGAAATCATTTAATTAATATCAAAGACATATCTATTTCTAGACTCTAGCATATCTATTATCTAAAGTGGTTTGACATTTGCCGTATTCTTCATTTCTCTTAATACGTTAGAATATACCATTTCGACACTTGCAAAACTAAACAGGCATATTTTCATGCTACTTTTGTTGCAAGGAATGGAAAACACCTTGTTAATTATGGCGAAAAATGTTTAAGGCGAGTGGAACGTGTGATTGCAATTTTAATTCAAATTCCTATTTCAATTGATTTACATGTGACTTAGCAGGGTAATAATATAAATTGTCATCAAAATGCAACTGAAATACACAAATGTTGATACATACCATCTGATCCTGGAGTTCCTGGAGTTCCTGGAAGAAAGAGAATATACATGTAAAATTAAATCATTTAATTAATATCACAGACATATCTATTTCTAGACTCTAGCATATCTATTATCTAAAGTAGTTTGACATTTGCCGTATTCTTCATTTCTCTTAATACGTTAGAATATACCATTTCGACACTTGCAAAACTAAACAGGCATATTTTAATGCTACTTTTGTTGCAAGGAATGGAAAACACCTTGTTAATTATGGTGAAAAATGTTTAAGGCGAGTGGAACGTGTGATTGCAATTTTAATTCAAATTCCTATTTCAATTGATTTACATGTGACTTAGCAGGGTAATAATATAAATTGTCATCAAAATGAAACTGAAATAAATAAATGTTGATACATACCATCCGATCCTGGAGTTCCTGGAGTTCCTGGAAGAAAGAGAATATGCATGTAAAATGAAATCATTTAATTAATATCAAAGACATATCTATTTCTAGTCGACTCTAGCATATATATTATCTAAAGTGGTTTGACATTTGCCGTATTCCTCATTTCTCTTAATACGTTAGAATATATCATTTCGACACTTGCAAAATAAACAGACATACTTAAATGCTACTTTCGTTGCAAGGAATGGAAAACATCTTGTTAATTCTGGCGAAAAATGTTTAAGGCGAGTGGAACATGTGATTGCAATTTTAATTGAAATTCCTATTTCAATTGATTTACATGTAAATTAGCAGGGTAATAATATGAATTGTAATAAAAAATAAAACTGAAATACACAAATGTTGATACCTACCATCCGATCCTTGATTTCCTGGAGTTCCTGGAAGAAAGAGAATACACATGTAAAATGAAATCATTTCATTAATATCAAAGACATATCTATTTCTAGACTCTAGCATATCTATTATCTAAAGTGGTTTGACATTTGCCGTATTCCTCATTTCTCTTAATACGTTAGAATATACCATTTCGACACTTACAAAACTAAACCGGCATACCTTAATGTTACTTTCGTTGCAAGGAATGGAAAACACCTTGTTAATTATGTCGAAAAATGTTTAAGGCGAGTGGAACGTGTGATTGCAATTTTAATTGAAATTCCTATTTCATTTTATTTACATGTGACTTAGCAGGGTAATAATATGAATTGTAATAAAAATAAAACTGAAATACACAAATGTTGATACCTACCATCCGATCCTGGATTTCCTGGAGTTCCTGGAAGAAAGAGAATATACATGTTAAATGAAATCATTTCATTAATATCAAAGACATATCTATTTCTAGACTCTAGCATATCTATTATCTAAAGTGCTTTGACATTTGCCGTATTCCTCATTTCTCTTAATACGTTAAAATATATCATTTCGACACTTGCAAAATAAACAGACATACTTAAATGCTACTTTCGTTGCAAGGAATGGAAAACATCTTGTTAATTATGGCGAAAAATGATTAAGGCGAGTGGAACGTGTGATTGCAATTATAATTGAAATTCCTATTTCAATTGATTTACATGTGACTTAGCAGGGTAATAATATGAATTGTAATAAAAAATAAAACTGAAATACACAAATGTTCATACATACCATCCGATCCTGGAGTTCCTGGAGATCCTGGAAGAAAGAGAATATACATGTAAAATGAAATCATTTAATTAATATCAAAGACATATCTATTTCTAGACTCTAGCATATCTATTATCTAAAGTGGTTTGACATTTGCCGTATTCTTCATTTCTCTTAATACGTTAGAATACACCATTTCGACACTTGCAAAACTAAACAGGCATATTTTAATGCTACTTTTGTTGCAAGGAATGGAAAACACCTTGTTAATTATGGCGAAAAATGTTTAATGCGAGTGGAACGTGTGATTGCAATTTTAATTCAAATTCCTATTTCAATTGATTTACATGTTACTTAGCAGGGTAATAATATAAATTGTCATCAAAATGCAACTGAAATACACAAATTTTGATACATACCATCTGATCCTGGAGTTCCTGGAGTTCCTGGAAGAAAGAGAATATACATGTAAAATTAAATCATTTAATTAATATCAAAGACATATCTATTTCTAGTCGACTGTAGCATATATATTATCTAAAGCGGTTTTACATTTGCCGTATTCCTCATTTCTCTTAATACGTTAGAATATATCATTTCGACACTTGCAAAATAAACAGACATACTTAAATGCTACTCTCGATGCAAAGAATGGAAAACATCTTGTTAATTCTGGCGAAAAATGTTTAAGGCGAGTGGAACGTGTGATTGCAATTTTAATTCAAATTCCTATTTCAATTGATTTACATGTAAATTAGCAGGGTAATAATATGAATTGTAATAAAAAATAAAACTGAAATACACAAATGTTGATACCTACCATCCGATCCTTGATTTCCTGGAGTTCCTGGAAGAAAGAGAATACACATGTAAAATGAAATCATTTCATTAATATCAAAGACATATCTATTTCTAGACTCTAGCATATCTATTATCTAAAGTGGTTTGACATTTGCCGTATTCCTCATTTCTCTTAATACGTTAGAATATACCATTTCGACACTTACAAAACTAAACCGGCATACCTTAATGTTACTTTCGTTGCAAGGAATGGAAAACACCTTGTTAATTATGTCGAAAAATGTTTAAGGCGAGTGGAACGTGTGATTGCAATTTTAATTGAAATTCCTATTTCAATTGATTTACATGTGACTTAGCAGGGTAATAATATGAATTGTAATAAAAATGCAACTGAAATACACAAATGTTGATACCTACCATCCGATCCTGGATTTCCTGGAGTTCCTGGAAGAAAGAGAATATACATGTAAAATGAAATCATTTAATTAATATCAAAGACATATCTATTTCTAGACTCTAGCATATCTATTATCTAAAGTGGTTTGACATTTGCCGTATTCCTCATTTCTCTTAATACGTTAAAATATATCATTTCGACACTTGCAAAATAAACAGACATACTTAAATGCTACTTTCGTTGCAAGGAATGGAAAACATCTTGTTAATTATGGCGAAAAATGATTAAGGCGAGTGGAACGTTTGATTGCAATTATAATTGAAATTCCTATTTCAATTGATTTACATGTGACTTAGCAGGGTAATAATATGAATTGTAATAAAAAATAAAACTGAAATACACAAATGTTGATACATACCATCCGATCCTGGAGTTCCTGGAGTTCCTGGAAGAAAGAGAATATATATATGTAAAATGAAATCATTTAATTAATATCAAAGACATATCTATTTCTAGACTCTAGCATATCTATTATCTAAAGTGGTTTGACATTTGCCGTATTCTTCATTTCTCTTAATACGTTAGAATACACCATTTCGACACTTGCAAAACTAAACAGGCATATTTTAATGCTACTTTTGTTGCAAGGAATGGAAAACACCTTGTTAATTATGGCGAAAAATGTTTAAGGCGAGTGGAACGTGTGATTGCAATTTTAATTCAAATTCCTATTTCAATTTATTTACATGTGACTTAGCAGGGTAATAATATAAATTGTCATCAAAATGCAACTGAAATAAATAAATGTTGATACATACCATCCGATCCTGGAGTTCCTGGAGATCCTGGAAGAAAGAGAATATACATGTAAAATGAAATCATTTAATTAATATCAAAGACATATCTATTTCTAGTCGACTCTAGCATATCTATTATCTAAAGTGGTTTTACATTTGCCGTATTCCTCATTTCTCTTAATACGTTAGAATATATCATTTCGACACTTGCAAAATAAACAGACATACTTAAATGCTACTTTCGTTGCAAGGAATGGAAAACATCTTGTTAATTATGGCGAAAAATGTTTAAGGCGAGTGGAACATGTGATTGCAATTTTAATTGAAATTCCTATTTCAATTGATTTACATGTAAATTAGCAGGGTAATAATATGAATTGTAATAAAAAATAAAACTGAAATAAACAAATGTTGATACCTACCATCCGATCCTTGATTTCCTGGAGTTCCTGGAAGAAAGAGAATATACATGTAAAATGAAATCATTTAATTAATATCAAAGACATATCTATTTCTAGTCGACTCTAGCATATCTATTATCTAAAGTGGTTTTACATTTGCCGTATTCCTCATTTCTCTCAATACGTTAGAATATATCATTTCGACACTTGCAAAATAAACAGACATACTTAAATGCTACTTTCGTTGCAAGGAATGGAAAACATCTTGTTAATTATGGCGAAAATTGTTTAAGGCGAGTGGAACATGTGATTGCAATTTTAATTGAAATTCCTATTTCAATTGATTAACATGTAAATTAGCAGGGTAATAATATAAATTGTCATCAAAATGCAACTGAAATAAATAAATGTTGATACATACCATCCGATCCTGGAGTTCCTGGAGTTCCTGGAAGAAAGAGAATATACATGTAAAATGATTCATTTAATTAATATCAAAGACATATCTATTTCCTGTCGACTCTAGCATATCTATTATCTAAAGTGGTTTTACATTTGCCGTATTACTCATTTCTCTTAATACGTTAAAATATATCATTTCGACACTTGCAAAATAAACAGACATACTTAAATGCTACTTTCGTTGCAAGGAATGGAAAACATCTTGTTAATTATGGCGAAAAATGTTTAAGGCGAGTGGAACATGTGATTGCAATTTTAATTGAAATTCCTATTTCAATTGATTTACATGTAAATTAGCAGGGTAATAATATAAATTGTAATAAAAAATAAAACTGAAATGCACAAATGTTGATACCTACCATCCGATCCTTGATTTCCTGGAGTTCCTGGAAGAAAGAGAATACACATGTAAAATGAAATCATTTAATTAATATCAAAGACATATCTATATCTAGACTCTAGCATATCTATTATCTAAAGTGGTTTGACATTTGCCGTATTCTTCATTTCTCTTAATACGTTAGAATATACCATGTCGACACTTGCAAAACTAAACAGGCATATGTTAATGCTACTTTTGTTGCAAGGAATGGAAAACACCTTGTTAATTATGGCAAAAAATGTTTAAAGCGAGTGGAACGTGTGATCGCAATTATAATTGAAATTGCTATTTCAATTGATTTACATGTGACTTAGCAGGGTAATAATATGAATTGTAATAAAAATAAAACTGAAATACACAAATGTTGATACCTACCATCCGATCCTGGAGTTCCTGGAGTTCCTGGAAGAAAGAGAATAAACATTTAAAATGAAATCATTTCATTAATATCAAAGACATATCTATTTCTAGACTCTAGCATATCTATTATCTAAAGTGGTTTGATATTTGCCGTATTCCTCATTTCTCTTAATACGTTAAAATATATCATTTCGACACTTGCAAAATAAACAGACATACTTAAATGCTACTTTCGTTGCAAGGAATGGAAAACATCTTGTTAATTATGGCGAAAAATGTTTAAGGCGAGTGTGATTGCAATTTTAATTGAAATTCCTATTTCAATTGATTTACATGTGACTTAGCAGGGTAATAATATAGATTGTCATCAAAATGCAACTGAAATACACAAATGTTGATACCTACCATCCGATCCTGGAGTTCCTGGAGTTCCTGGAAGAAAGAGAATATACTTGTAAAATTAAATCATTTCATTAATATCAAAGACATGTCTATTTTTAGACTATAGCATATCTATTATCTATTTTTTTTACATGTAAAACATATCTTTTTGACGACGCTTGCAAAATTGAACAAACATTGTTAAATGGTACTTCTGGTGCAAGAAATTGAAAAAATACTGTTGATTATAGCTCAACAGTTTTCAGACGAGTAGAACGTTTGATTGCAACTTTAATTGAAATTCCTATTTCACATGATTTACATGTGACTTAGCAGGGAAATAAAGATAAATTGTTACCAGAATGTAATTGATATACACGAATGATGATACGTACCATCCGTTCCGTTAGGTCCTGGTGGTCCTGCAAGTAAGAGAAGATCGAATATAATAAGTACAATACTATAAAAATTAACTTTTTTAAAAATCTTGATTTTTTTCTTGCTATACTGGTTTGACAGATAACATAATCGTTTTTTCTTTCAATATTTCAGAAAAATATCTTCTATGGATTCATAATTGATTGTGGGGTTCCAACTTTGGTGGATTTTGGGGGTATACGTGAAGCACGAATTCTAATATTAAACGAAGTACACATCTTATTTAAACTTTTATGCAGACTTTGGCATAACCACAAAATCAAATATCTACGAAAACACAATTATTCCTCAACTGACAAAATTCGGTACCCACGAAAAATAAATGAATCCGTGGAAGGTGTTTACAAATTAAACAGACTAGCTTGAATCGTATTGTGGGAGTTAGATATAAATGATTTGCTTATAATGGTTAAAGATGTTTAAGTGAGTGAAACGTTCGATTGGAACTTTAACTATTACTTCCTCTTCAAATGATTTACATGTACCTTGTAATAAAGGGGATGAATTGCTACTAGAATGCAATTGATATATACGAATATTGATACATACCATACCCGCCCCTAGGTCCTGGTTGTCCTGGAAGAAAGAGATGATAGACTGCCATCAATTGATCAATATGAAAGACATGACCTTTTGTAGACTCTAGAAAATCTATTACTTAAAGTGGTTGGACTTTTGCCGTTATTTCTCATTTCTATTAACATGTTAGAACATATCTTTTAGACGCAAGCAAAATTGAACAGACTTACTTAAATATTACTTCCGTTGAAAGAAATTGAAATAAACCGTGTTCATTATAGCTCAACAGTTTTAAGACAAGTGGAATTTTTGATTGCAATTTACATGTTAATTAGCAGGGTAATAATATAAATTGTAATCAAAATAAAACTGTAATACACAAATGTTAATACAAACCATCCGATCCTGGAATTCCTGGAAGAAAGAGAAGATACATGTAGAATGAAATCTTTTTTTATTAATATCAAAGACATGTCTTTTTCTAGACTCTACCATATATATTATCTAAAGTGGTCTGACATTTTGCGTATTCCTCATTTCTCTTAATATGTTAGAATATATCATTTCGACACTTGCAAAATAAACAGACATACTTAAATGTTACTTTCGTTGCAAGGAATGGAAAACATCTTGTTAATTATGGCAAAAATATTTAAGGCGAGTAGAATATGTGATTGCAATTTTGATTGAAATTCCTATTTCAATTGATTTACATGTGACTTAGCAGGGTAATAATATGAATTGTAATAAAAATAAACCCGAAATACACAAATGTTGATACCTACCATCCGATCCTGGATTTCCTTGAGTTCCTGGAAGAAAGAGAATATACATGTAAAATGAAATCATTTCATTAATATCAAAGACATATCTATTTCTAGACTCTAGCATATCTATTATCTAAAGTGCTTTGACATTTGCCGTATTCCTCATTTCTCTTAATACGTTAGAATATATCATTTCGACACTTGCAAAATAAAGAGACATACTTAAATGTTACTTTCGTTGCAAGGAATGGAAAACATCTTGTTAATTATGGCAAAAATCTTTAAGGCGAGTAGAACATGTGATTGCAATTTTGATTGAAATTCCTATTTCAATTGATTTACATGTGACTTAGAAGGGTAATAATATGAATTGTAATAAAAATAAACCTGAAATACACAAATGTTGATACCTACCATCCGATCCTGGATTTCCTGGAGTTCCTGGAAGAAAGAGAATATACATGTAAAATGAAATCATTTAATTAATATCAAAGACATATGTATTTCTAGACTCTAGCATATCTATTATTTAAAGTGGTTTGACATTTGCCGTATTCCTCATTTCTCTAAATACGTTAGAATATACCATTTCGACACTTGCAAAACTAAACAGGCATACTTTAATGCTACTTTCATTGCAAGGAATGGAAAACACTTTGTTAATTATGGCGAAAAATGTTTAAGGCGAGTGGAACTTGTGCTTGCAATTATAATTGAAATTCCTATTTCAATTGATTTGCATGTGACTTAGCAGGGTAATAATATAAATTGTTATCAAAATGCAACTGAAATACACAAATGTTGATACATACCATCGGATCCTGGAGTTCCTTGAGTTCCTGGAAGAAAGAGAATAAACTTGTAAAATTAAATCATTTCATTAATATCAAAGACATATCTATTTCTAGACTCTAGCATATCTATTATCTATTTTTTTACATGTAAAACATATCTTTTTGACGACGCTTGTAAAATTGAACAAACATTGTTAAATGGTACTTCCGGTGCAAGAAATTGAAAAAAATACTGTAGATTATAGCAGGAAAATACAGATAAATTGTAACCAGAATGTAATTGATATACACGAATGTTGATACGTACCATCCATTCCGTTAGGTCCTGGAGGTCCTGCAAGTTAGGGAAGATGGAATATAATAAGTACAATACTATAAAAACAAACTTTTTTTAAAATCTTGATTTTTTTTCTTGTTATAGTGGTTTGACAGATAACATAATCGTTTTTTCTCTCAACAGTTCAGAAAAATATATTTTATTGATTCATAATTGATTGTGGGGTTTTAACTTTGGTGGATTTCGTGGGTATACGTGAAGCACGAATTCTAATATTAAACGAAATACACATCTTATTTAGACTTTTATGCAGACTTTGGCATAACCACAAAATCAAATATCTGCGAAAACACAATTATTCCTCAATTGACAAAATTCGGTACCCACGAAAAATAAATGAATCCGTGGAAGGTGTTTACAAATTAAACAGACTAGCTTGAATCGTATTGTGGGAGTTAGAAATAAATGATTTGCTTATAATGGTTAAAGATGTTTAAGTGAGTGAAACGTTCGATTGGAACTTTAACTATTACTTCCTCTTCAAATGATTAACATGTGCCTTGTAATAAAAAAGGATGAATTGCTACTAGAATGCAATTGATATATACGAATATTGATACATACCATACCCGCCCCTAGGTCCTGGTTGTCCTGGAAGAAAGAGATGATAGACTGCCATCAATTGATCAATATGAAAGACATGACCTTTTGTAGACTCTAGAAAATGTATTATTTAAAGTGGTTGGACTTTTGCCGTTATTTCTCATTTCTACTAACATGTTAGAACATATCTTTTAGACGCAAGCAAAATTGAACAGACTTACTTAAATATTCCGTTGAAAGAAATTGAAAAAAACCCTGTTCATTATAGCTCAATAGTTTTAAGACAAGTGGAATTTTTGATTGCAATTGACATGTGACTTAGCAGGGTAATAATATGAATTGTAATCAAAATGCAACTGAAATACACAAATGTTGATACATACCATCCGATCCTGGAGTTCCTGGAACAAAGAGAAGATACATGTAGAATGAAATCATTTAATTAATATCAAAGACATATCTATTTCTAGACTCTAGCATATCTATTATCTAAAGTGGTTTGACATTTGCCGTATTCTTCATTTCTCTTAATACATTAGAATATACCATTTCGACACTTGCAAAACTAAACAGGCATATTTTAATGCTACTTTTGTTGCAAGGAATGGAAAACACCTTGTTAATTATGGCGAAAAATGTTTAAGGCGAGTGGAACGTGTGATTGCAATTTTAATTCAAATTCCTATTTCAATTGATTTACATGCGACTTAGCAGGGTAATAATATAAATTGTCATCAAAATGCAACTGAAATACACAAATGTTGATACCTACCATCCGATCCTGGATTTCCTGGAGTTCCTGGAAGAAAGAGAATATACATGTAAAATGAAATCATTTCATTAATATCAAAGACATATCTATTTCTAGACTCTAGCATATCTATTATCTAAAGTGGTTTGACATTTGCCGTATTCCTCATTTCTCTTAATACGTTAGAATATACCATTTCGACACTTACAAAACTAAACCGGCATACATTAATGTTACTTTCGTTGCAAGGAATGGAAAACACCTTGTTAATTATGTCGAAAAATGTTTAAGGCGAGTGGAACGTGTGATTGCAATTTTAATTCAAATTCCTATTTCAATTGATTTACATGCGACTTAGCAGGGTAATAATATAAATTGTCATCAAAATGCAACTGAAATACACAAATGTTGATACCTACCATCCGATCCTGGATTTCCTTGAGTTCCTGGAAGAAAGAGAATATACATGTAAAATGAAATCATTTCATTAATATCAAAGACATATCTATTTCTAGACTCTAGCATATCTATTATCTAAAGTGCTTTGACATTTGCCGTATTCCTCATTTCTCTTAATACGTTAGAATATATCATTTCGACACTTGCAAAATAAAGAGACATACTTAAATGTTACTTTCGTTGCAAGGAATGGAAAACATCTTGTTAATTATGGCAAAAATCTTTAAGGCGAGTAGAACATGTGATTGCAATTTTGATTGAAATTCCTATTTCAATTGATTTACATGTGACTTAGAAGGGTAATAATATAAATTGTAATAAAAATTAAACTGAAATACACAAATGTCGATACCTACCATCCGATCCTTGATTTCCTGGAGTTCCTGGAAGAAAAAGAATATACATGTAAAATGAAATCATTTAATTAATATCAAAGACATATCTATTTCTAGTCGACTCTAGCATATCTATTATCTAAAGTGGTTTTACATTTGCCGTATTCCTCATTTCTCTTATTACGTTAGAATATATCATTTCGACACTTGCAAAATAAACAGACATACTTAAATGCTACTTTCGTTGCAAGGAATGGAAAACATCTTGTTAATTATGGCGAAAAATGTTTAAGGCGAGTGGAACATGTGATTGCAATTTTAATTGAAATTCCTATTTCAATTGATTAACATGTAAATTAGCAGGGTAATAATATAAATTGTCATCAAAATGCAACTGAAATAAATAAATGTTGATACATACCATCCGATCCTGGAGTTCCTGGAGTTCCTGGAAGAAAAAGAATATACATGAAAAATGAAATCATTTCATTAATATCAAAGACATATCTATTTCTAGACTCTTGCATATATATTATCTAAAGTGGTTTGACATTTGCCGTATTCCTCATTTCTCTTAATACGTTAGAATATACCATTTCGACACTTGCAAAACTAAACAGGCATACTTTAATGTTACTTTCGTTGCAAGGTAAGGAAAACACCTTGTTAATTATGGTGAAAATTTTTTAAGGCGAGTGGAACGTGTGATTGAAATTATAATTGAAATTCCTATTTCAATTGATTTACATGTGACTTAGCAGGGTATTATATTAATTGTAATAAAAAATAAAACTGAAATACACAAATGTTGATAACTACCATCCGATCCTGGATTTCCTGGAGTTCCTGGAAGAAAGGGAATATACATGTAAAATGAAATCATTTAATTAATATCAAAGACATATGTATTTGTAGACTCTAGCATATCTATTATTTAAAGTGGTTTCACATTTGCCATATTCCTCATTTCTCTTAATACGTTAGAATATACCATTTCGACACTTGCAAAACTAAACAGGCATACTTTAATGCTACTTTCATTGCAAGGAATGGAAAACACCATGTTAATTATGGCGGAAAATATTTAAGGCGAGTGGATTTTGTGCTTGCAATTATAATTGAAATTCCTATTTCAATTGATTTACATGTGACTTAGCAGGGTAATAATATGAATTGTAATCAAAATGCAACTGAAATACACAAATGTTGATACATACCATCCGATCCTGGAGTTCCTTGAGTTCCTGGAAGAAAGAGAATAAACTTGTAAAATTAAATCATTTCATTAATATCAAAGACATATCTATTTCTAGACTCTAGCATATCTATTATCTATTTTTTTACATGTAAAACATATCTTTTTGACGACGCTTGCAAAATTGAACAAACATTGTTAAATGGTACTTCCGGTGCAAGAAATTGAAAAAATACTGTAGATTATAGCAGGGAAATACAGATAAATTGTAACCAGAATGTAATTGATATACACGAATGTTGATACGTACCATCCGTTCCGTTAGGTCCTGGAGGTCCTGCAAGTTAGGGAAGATGGAATATAATAAGTACAATACTATAAAAACAAACTTTTTTTAAAATCTTGATTTTTTTTCTTGTTATAGTGGTTTGACAGATAACATAATCGTTTTTTCTCTCAACAGTTCAGAAAAATATATTTTATGGATTCATAATTGATTGTGGGTTTTTATCTTTGGTGGATTTCGTGGGTTTACGTGTAGCACGAATTTTAATATTAAACGAAATACACATCTTATTTAGACTTTTATGCAGACTTTGGCATAACCACAAAATCAAATATCTGCGAAAACACAATTATTCCTCAATTGACAAAATTCGGTACCCACGAAAAATAAATGAATCCGTGAAAGGTGTTTACAAATTAAACAGACTAGCTTGAATCGTATTGTGGGAGTTAGAAATAAATGATTTGCTTATAATGGTTAAAGATGTTTAAGTGAGTGAAACGTTCGATTGGAACTTTAACTATTACTTCCTCTTCAAATGATTAACATGTGCCTTGTAATAAAAAAGGATGAATTGCTACTAGAATGCAATTGATATATACGAATATTGATACATACCATACCCGCCCCTAGGTCCTGGTTGTCCTGGAAGAAAGAGATGATAGACTGCCATCAATTGATCAATATGAAAGACATGACCTTTTGTAGACTCTAGAAAATCTATTATTTAAAGTGGTTGGACTTTTGCCGTTATTTCTCATTTCTATTAACATGTTAGAACATATCTTTTAGACGCAAGCAAAATTGAACAGACTTACTTAAATATTCCGTTGAAAGAAATTGAAAAAAACCCTGTTCATTATAGCTCAATAGTTTTAAGACAAGTGGAATTTTTGATTGCAATTGACATGTGACTTAGCAGGGTAATAATATGAATTGTAATCAAAATGCAACTGAAATACACAAATGTTGATACATACCATCCGATCCTGGAGTTCCTGGAACAAAGAGAAGATACATGTAGAATGAAATCATTTAATTAATATCAAAGACATATCTATTTCTAGACTCTAGCATATCTATTATCTAAAGTGGTTTGACATTTGCCGTATTCTTCATTTCTCTTAATACATTAGAATATACCATTTCGACACTTGCAAAACTAAACAGGCATATTTTAATGCTACTTTTGTTGCAAGGAATGGAAAACACCTTGTTAATTATGTCGAAAAATGTTTGAGGCGAGTGGAACGTGTGATTGCAATTTTAATTGAAATTCCTATTTCAATTGATTTACATGTGACTTAGCAGGGTAATAATATGAATTGTAATAAACATGCAACTGAAATACACAAATGTTGATACCTACCATCCGATCCTGGATTTCCCGGAGTTCCTGGAAGAAAGAGAATATACATGTAAAATGAAATCATTTAATTAATATCAAAGACATATCTATTTCTAGACTCTAGCATATCTATTATCTAAAGTGGTTTGACATTTGCCGTATTCTTCATTTCTCCTAATACGTTAGAATATACCATTTCGACACTTGCAAAACTAAACAGGCATATTTTAATGCTACTTTTGTTGCAAGGAATGGAAAACACCTTGTTTATTATGGCAAAAAATGTTTAAGGCGAGTGGAACGTGTGATTGCAATTTTAATTGAAATTCCTATTAAATTGATTAACATGTAAATTAGCAGGGTAATAATATAAATTGTAATAAAAATTAAACTGAAATACACAAATGTCGATACCTACCATCCGATCCTTGATTTCCTGGAGTTCCTGGAAGAAAGAGAATATACATGTAAAATGAAATCATTTAATTAATATCAAAGACATATCTATTTCTAGTCGACTCTAGCATATCTATTATCTAAAGTGGTTTTACATTTGCCGTATTCCTCATTTCTCTTAATACGTTAGAATATATCATTTCGACACTTGCAAAATAAACAGACATACTTAAATGCTACTTTCGTTGCAAGGAATGGAAAACATCTTGTTAATTATGGCGAAAAATGTTTAAGGCGAGTGGAACATGTGATTGCAATTTTAATTGAAATTCCTATTTCAATTGATTAACATGTAAATTAGCAGGGTAATAATATAAATTGTCATCAAAATGCAACTGAAATAAATAAATGTTGATACATACCATCCGATCCTGGAGTTCCTGGAGTTCCTGGAAGAAAAAGAATATACATGAAAAATGAAATCATTTCATTAATATCAAAGACATATCTATTTCTAGACTCTTGCATATATATTATCTAAAGTGGTTTGACATTTGCCGTATTCCTCATTTCTCTTAATACGTTAGAATATACCATTTCGACACTTGCAAAACTAAACAGGCATACTTTAATGTTACTTTCGTTGCAAGGTAAGGAAAACACCTTGTTAATTATGGTGAAAATTTTTTAAGGCTAGTGGAACGTGTGATTGAAATTATAATTGAAATTCCTATTTCAATTGATTTACATGTGACTTAGCAGGGTAATATATTAATTGTAATAAAAAATAAAACTGAAATACACAAATGTTGATAACTACCATCCGATCCTGGATTTCCTGGAGTTCCTGGAAGAAAGGGAATATACATGTAAAATGAAATCATTTAATTAATATCAAAGACATATGTATTTGTAGACTCTAGCATATCTATTATTTAAAGTGGTTTCACATTTGCCATATTCCTCATTTCTCTTAATACGTTAGAATATACCATTTCGACACTTGCAAAACTAAACAGGCATACTTTAATGCTACTTTCATTGCAAGGAATGGAAAACACCATGTTAATTATGGCGGAAAATATTTAAGGCGAGTGGATTTTGTGCTTGCAATTATAATTGAAATTCCTATTTCAATTGATTTACATGTGACTTAGCAGGGTAATAATATGAATTGTAATCAAAATGCAACTGAAATACACAAATGTTGATACATACCATCCGATCCTGGAGTTCCTTGAGTTCCTGGAAGAAAGAGAATAAACTTGTAAAATTAAATCATTTCATTAATATCAAAGACATATCTATTTCTAGACTCTAGCATATCTATTATCTATTTTTTTACATGTAAAACATATCTTTTTGACGACGCTTGCAAAATTGAACAAACATTGTTAAATGGTACTTCCGGTGCAAGAAATTGAAAAAAATACTGTAGATTATAGCAGGGAAATACAGATAAATTGTAACCAGAATGTAATTGATATACACGAATGTTGATACGTACCATCCGTTCCGTTAGGTCCTGGAGGTCCTGCAAGTTAGGAAAGATGGAATATAATAAGTACAATACTATAAAAACAAACTTTTTTTAAAATCTTGATTTTTTTTCTTGTTATAGTGGTTTGACAGATAACATAATCGTTTTTTCTCTCAACAGTTCAGAAAAATATATTTTATGGATTCATAATTGATTGTGGGTTTTTATCTTTGGTGGATTTCGTGGGTATACGTGAAGCACGAATTCTAATATTAAACGAAATACACATCTTATTTAGACTTTTATGCAGACTTTGGCATAACCACAAAATCAAATATCTACGAAAACACAATTATTCCTCAATTGACAAAATTCGGTACCCACGAAAAATAAATAAATCCGTGGAAGGTGTTTACAAATTAAACAGACTAGCTTGAATCGTATTGTGGGAGTTAGAAATAAATGATTTGCTTATAATGGTTAAAGATGTTTAAGTGAGTGAAACGTTCGATTGGAACTTTAACTATTACTTCCTCTTCAAATGATTAACATGTGCCTTGTAATAAAAAAGTATGAATTGCTACTAGAATGCAATTGATATATACGAATATTGATACATACCATACCCGCCCCTAGGTCCTGGTTGTCCTGGAAGAAAGAGATGATAGACTGCCATCAATTGATCAATATGAAAGACATGACCTTTTGTAGACTCTAGAAAATCTATTACTTAAAGTGGTTGGACTTTTGCCGTTATTTCTCATTTCTATTAACATGTTAGAACATATCTTTTAGACGCAAGCAAAATTGAACAGACTTACTTAAATATTACTTCCGTTGAAAGAAATTGAAAAAAACCCTGTTCATTATAGCTCAACAGTTTTAAGACAAGTGGAATTTTTGATTGCAATTGACATGTGACTTAGCAGGGTAATAATATGAATTGTAATCAAAATGCAACTGAAATACACAAATGTTGATACATACCATCCGATCCTGGAGTTCCTGGAACAAAGAGAAGATACATGTAGAATGAAATCTTGTCATTAATATCAAAGACATATCTATTTCTAGACTCTACCATATCTATTATCTGAAGTGGTCTGACATTTGCCGTATTTCTCATTTCTCTTAATATGTTAAAACATATATGTAAGACGACGCTTGCAAAATTGAACAGACATGCTTAAATGTTATTTCCGTTAGCAGAAATTGAAAAGAAACCTGTTGATTATAGCTCAACAGTTTTCAGACGAGTGGAACGTTTGATTGCAATGTTAGTTGAAATTCATATTTCACATGATTTACATGTGATTTACATGTGACTTAGCAGGCAAATAAAAGATAAATTGTAATAAGAATACAATCGATATACACGAATGTTGATACGTACCATCCGCTCCCTTAGGCCCTGGTGGTCCTGCAAGTAAGAGAGGATCGAATATCACAAGTACAATACTATAAAAACAAACTTTTAAAAAATCTTGGATTTTTCTTGTTCTAGTTGTTTTACAGATATCATAATCGTTTTTTCTATCAACATTTTAGAAAAGTGTTTTTTTTGGATGCATAATTGATTGTGGGGTTCCAATTTTGGTGGATTTCGTAGGTAAACATGAAGCAAGTTTTTTAATGTTAAACGAAGTACACATTTTATTTAGGCTTGTATGCAGGCTTTGGCATAACCACAAAAACAAACATCTACGAAAATACAGTTATTCCTTAATCCACAAAAATTGGTACCCACGAAAAATAAATGAATCCATATTGGAAGGTGTTTGCAAATTCAACAGACTATCTTGAATCGTTAGATATAAATGATTTGCTTTTAATAGTTAAATACGTTTAAGTGAGTGAAACGTTTGATTGGAACTTTTAACTATTACTACTGCTTCAAATGATTTATATGTGCCTTGTAATAAAAAAGGATGAAATGTTACTAGAATGCAATTGATATATACGAATATTGATACATACCAGAAATGTTACTAGAATGCAATTGATATATACGAATATTGATACATACCATACCCGCCCCTAGGTCCTGGTTGTCCTGGAAGAAAGAGATGATAGACTGCCATCATTTAATCAATATAAAAAGACATGACCTTTTGTAGACTCTAGAAAATCTATTATTTAAAGTGGTTGGACATTTGCCGTTATTCCTCATTTCTCTTAACATGTTAGAACATATCTTGTAGACGCAAGCAAAATTGAACAGACTAACTTGAATATTACTTCAGTTGAAAGAAATTGAAAAAACCCTGTTCATTATAGCTCAACAGTTTTAAGACAAGTGGAATTTTTTATTGCAATTTACATGTTAATTAGCAGGGTAATAATATAAATTGTAATCAAAATAAAACTGTAATACACAAATGTTGATACAAACCATCCGATCCTGGAATTCCTGGAAGAAAGAGAAGATACATGTAGAATGAAATATTTTTTTATTAATATCAAAGACATGTCTTTTTCTAGACTCTACCATATATATTATCTAAAGTGGTCTGACATTTTGCGTATTCCTCATTTCTCTTAATATGTTAGAATATATCATTTCGACACTTGCAAAATAAACAGACATACTTAAATGTTACGTTCGTTGCAAGGAATGGAAAGCATCTTGTTAATTATGGCGAAAAATGTTTAAGGCGAGTGGAACATGTGATTGGAATTATAATTGAAATTCCTATTTCAATTGATTTACATGTGACTTAGCAGGGTAATAATATGAATTGTAATAAAAATAAAACTGAAATACACAAATATTGAAACCTACCATCCGATCCTGGATTTCCTGGAGTTCCTGGAAGAAAGAGAATATACATGTAAAATGAAATCATTTCATTAATATCAAAGACATATCTATTTCTAGACTCTAGCATATCTATTATCTAAAGTGCTTTGACATTTGCCGTATTCCTCATTTCTCTTAATACGTTAGAACATATCATTTCAACACTTGCAAAACAAAACAGACATACTTTATTGTTACTTTCGTTGCAAGGAATGGAAAACACCTTGTTAATTATGGCGAAAAATGTTTAAGGCGAGTGTGATTGCAATTTTAATTGAAATTCCTATTTCAATTGATTTACATGTGACTTAGCAGGGTAATACTATGAATAGTAATCAAAATGCAACTGAAATACAAAAATGTTGATACATACCATCCGATCCTGGAGTTCCTGGAGTTCCTGGAAGAAAGGGAATATACATGTAAAATGAAATCATTTAATTAATATCAAAGACATATGTATTTCTAGACTCTAGCATATCTATTATTTAAAGTGGTTTGACATTTGCCGTATTCCTCATTTCTCTTAATACGTTAGAATATACCATTTCGACACTTGCAAAACTAAACAGGCATACTTTAATGCTACTTTCATTGCAAGGAATGTAAAACACCTTGTTAATTATGGCGAAAAATGTTTAAGGCGAGTGGAACTTGTGCTTGCAATTATAATTGAAATTCCTATTTCAATTGATTTACATGTGACTTAGCAGGGTAATAATATAAATTGTAATCAAAATGCAACTGAAATACACAAATGTTGATACATACCATCCGATCCTGGAGTTCCTGGAGTTCCTGGAAGAAAGAGAATAAACTTGTAAAATTAAATCATTTCATTAATATCAAAGACATATCTATTTCTAGACTCTAGCATATCTATTATCTATTTTTTTACATGCTTTAAATGATTTATATGTGCCTTGTAATAAAAAAGTATGAAATGTTACTAGAATGCAATTGATATATACGAATACTGATACATACCATACCCGCCCCTAGGTCCTGGTTGTCCTGGAAGAAAGAGATGATAGACTGCCATCATTTGATTAATATAAAAGACATGACCTTTTGTACACTCTAACAAATCTATTATTTAAAGTGGTTTGACATTTTTCGTATTCCTCATTTCTCTTAATATGTTAGAACATATCTTTTAGACGCATGCAAAATTGAACAGACATACTTAAATGTTACTTCCGTTGAAAGAAATTGACAAAAAAAAGCTGTTGATTATAGCTCAAAATTTTTCAGACGAGTGGAACGTTTGATTGTAATTTTTAATAAACTTCCTATTTCACACGATTTACCTGTGAATTAGCAGGAAAATACGATAAATTGTAATAAGAATGCAACTGAAATACACAAATGTTGATACATACCATCCGATCCTGGATTTCCTGAAGTTCCTGGAAGAAAGAGAATATACATGTAAAATTAAATCATTTCATTAATATCAAAGACATATCTATTTCTAGACTCTAGCATATCTATTATCTAAAATGGTCTGACATTTGCCGTTATCCTCAATTCTCTTATAATGTTAGAACATATCATTTCGACACTTGCAAAACAAAACAGACATATTCTTATGTTACTTTCGTTGCAAGGAATGGAAAACACCTTGTTAATTATGGCAAAAAATGTTTAAGGCGAGTGGAACGTGTGATTGCAATTTTAATTAAAATTCCTATTTCAATTGATTTACATGTGACTTAGGAAGGTAATAATATAAATTTTAATTAAAACAAAACTGAAATACACAAATGTTGATATATACCATCCGATCCTGGAGTTCCTGGAAGAAAGAGAAGACACATGTGAAATGAAATCTTGTCATTAATATCAAAGACATGTCTATTTCTAGACTCTACCATATCTATTATCTAAAGTGGTCTGACATTTGCCGTATTCCTCATTTCTCTTAATATGTTAGAACATATCATTTCAACACTTGCAAAACAAAACAGACATACTTTATTGTTACTTTCGTTGCAAGGAATGGAAAACACCTTGTTAATTATGGCAAAAAATGTTTAAGGCGAGTGTGATTGCAATTTTAATTGAAATTCCTATTTCAATTGATTTACATGTGACTTAGCAGGGTAATCATATGAAAAGTAATCAAAATGCAACTGAAATACAAAAATGTTGAAACATACCATCCGATCCTGGAGTTCCTGGAGTTCCTGGAAGAAAGAGAATATACATGTAAAATCAAATCATTTCATTAATATCAAAGACATATCTATTTCTAGACTCTACCATATCTATTATCTAAAGTGGTTTGACAATTGCCGTATTCCTCATTCTCTTTATATAGTAGATCATATCATTTCAACACTTGCAAAACTAAACAGACATATTTTAATGTTACTTTCGTTGCAAGGAATGGAAAACATCTTGTTAATTATGGCGAAAAATGTTTAAAGCGAGTGGAACGTGTGATTGCAATTTTAATTAAAATTCCTATTTCAATTGATTTACATGTGACTTAGCAGGGTAATAGTATGAATTGTAATCAAAATGCAACTGAAATACACAAATGTTAATACATACCATCCGATCCTGGAGTTCCTGGAAGAAAGAAAAGATACATCTAGAATGAAAACTTGTCATTAATATCAAAGACATGTCTATTTCTAGACTCTATCATATCTATTATCTAAAGTGATCTGACATTTGCCGTATTCCTCATTTATCTTAATATGTTAGAACATATCATTTCGACACTTGCAAAACAAAACAGGCATACTTTAATGTTGCTTCCGTTGCAAGGAATAGAAAACACCTTGTTTATTATGGCTAAAAATGATTAAGGCGAGTGGAACGTGTGATTGCAATTTTAATTGAAATTCCTATTTCAATTGATTTACATGTGACTTAGCAGGGTAATAAGATAAATTGTAATCAAAATGCAACTGAAATACACAAATATTGATACATACCATCCGATCCTGGAGTTCCTAGAGTTCCTGGAGTTCCTGGAAGAAAGAGAATATACATGTAGAATTAAATCATTTCATTAATATCAAAGACATATAAATTTTTAGACTCTAGCTCTAGCATATCTATTATCTAAAGTAGTTTGATATTTGCCGTATTCCTCATTTCTCTTAATATGTTAAAACATGTATGTTAGACGACGCTTGCAAAATTGAACAGACATGTTTAAATGTTATTTCCGTTAAGAGAAATTGAAAAGAAACCTGTTGATTATAGCTCAAGAGTTTTCAGACGAGTGGAACGTTTGAATGAAATGTAAATTGAAATTCTTATTTCACATGATTTACATGTGATTTACATGTGACTTAGCAGGGAAATAAAGATAAATTGCAATGAGAATGCAATTGATATACACGAATTTTGATACGTACCATCCGCTCCGTTAGGTCCTGGTGGTCCTGCAAGTAAGAGAAAATCGAATGTCACAAGTACAATACTATAAAAACAAACTTTTAAAAAATCTTGGATTTTTCCTGTTATAGTGGTTTGACAGATATCATAATCGTTTTTTCTATGAACATTTTAGAACAATTTCTGTTTTGATTTCAGAATTGATTGTGTATTTCCAATTTTGGTGGATGTCGTAGGTATACGTGAAGCAAGTTTTTTAATGTTAAACGAAGTACACATTTCATTTAGGCTTGTATGCAGACTTTGGCATAACCACAAAAACAAATATCTACGAAATAACAGTTATTCCTTAAGCCACAAAAATTGGTACCCAAGAAAAATAAATGAATCCATAGTGGAAGGTGTTTGCAAATGCAACAGACTAGCTTGAATCGTAAGAAACAATTGATTTGCTTATAATGGTTAAATATGTTTAGGTGAGTGAAACGTTTGATTGGAACTTTTAACTATTACTTCCTCTTCAAATGATTTATATGTGCCTTGTACTAAAAAAGAATAAATTGTTACTAGAATGCAATTGATATATACGAATATTGATACATACCATACCCGCCCGTAGGTCCTGGTTGTCCTGGAAGAAAGAGATGATAGACTGTCATCATTTGATTAATATAAATAAAAAGATCTTTTGAAGGCTCTATCAAATCTATTATTTAAAGTGGTTTGACATCTGAATCAACAGTGGAAGGTGTTTGCAAATTCCACAGACTAGCTTGAATCGTATTGTAGGAGTTAGAAATAAATGATTTGCTTATAATGGTTGAATCGTATTGTAAGAGTTAGAAAAAAATGATTTGCCTATAATGGGTAAATATATTTAATTGAGTGAAACGTTTGATTGGAACTTTTAACTATTACTTTCTCTTCAAATGATTTATATGTGCATGGTAATAAAAAAAGTATGAATTGTTACTTATACGAATATTGATTCATACCATACCCGCCCCTAGGTCCTGGTTGTCCTGGAAGAAAGGGATAATAAACTGTCATTATTTTATTAATAGGAAAGACATGACCTTTTGTAGACTCTAGCAAATTTATTATTTAAAATAGCGTATTCATCAGTTCTCTGAATATGTTAGAAAATATCTTTTAAACGCATGGAAAATTGAACAGAAATACTTAAATGTTACTTCCGTTGAAAGAAATTGACAAATATCTTGTTGATTACAGCTCAACAGTTTTAAGACGAGTGGTACGTTTGTTTGGAATTTTTAATTGAAATTCCTATTTCACATGATTTACATGTCACTTAGCAGGGAAATAAAGATAAATTGTAATCAGAATGTAATTGATATACACCAATGTTGATACGTACCATCCGCTCCCTTAGGTCCTGGTGGTCCTGCAAATTAGAGAAGATCGAAATTCATAAGTTCAATACTATAAAAGCAAACTTTTCAAAAATCTTGGCTTTTTTCTTGTTATAGTGGGTTGAAAGGTATCATAATCGTATTTTTCTCTTAACATTTAAGAAAAACATCTTCTATGGATTCATAATTGATTGTGGGGTTCCAATTTTGGTGGATGTCGTGGGTATACGTGAAGCACGAATTTTAATGTTTAAGGAAGTACATATTCTATTATGGATTGTATGTAGTCTTTGGCATAACAAAAACAAATATCTCCGAAAATACAATTACTCCTCAATCCACTAAAATTGGTTCCCAAGAAAAATAAATGAAACCACAGTGAATGGTGTTTGCGAATTCAACAGACTAGTTTGAATCGTATAGTAGGAGTTAGAAATAAATGATTTGCTTATAATGGTTAAATATGTTTAAGTGAATGAAAAGTTTGATTGGAACTTTTAACTATTACTTCCTCTTCAAATGATTTTTATGTGCCTTGCAATAAAAAAAGGATGAATTGTTACTTATACGAATATTTATACCTACCATACCCGCCCCTAGGTCCTGGTTGTCCTGGAAGAAAGAGATAATAAACTGTCATCATTGGATTAATATGGAACACATGACCTTTTGTAGGCTCCGGCAAATCTATTATTTAAAGTGGTTTGACATTTGAATCCACAGTGGAAGGTGTTTGCAGATTAAACAGACTAGCTTGAATCGTATGTTAGAGGAGTTAGAAATAAATGATTTGCTTATAATGGTTAAATATGTTTAAGTGATTGAAACGTTTGATTGAAACATTTAACTATTACTTCCTCTTCAAATGATTTATATGTGCCTTGTAATTAAAAAAAAAATGAATTGTTACTTATACGAATGTTGATATATACCATACCGTCCCTTAGGTCCTGGTTGTCCTAGAGGAAAGCGAGAATAAACTGTCATCATTTGAATAATAGGAAAGACATGACCTCATGTAGACTATAGCAAATCTATTATTTAAAATGGTTTGACATTTGCCGTATTCCTCATTTCTCTAAATATATTATAACATATCTTTTAGACGCATGCAAAATTGAACAAACATACTTAAATTTTACTTCCGTTGAAAGAAATTGACAAAAATCTTGTTGGTTATAGCTCAACATATTTAAGACGAGTGGAACGTTTGATTGCCTTTTTAATTGAAATTCCTATTTCACATGATTTACATGTCACTTAGCAGGGAAATAAAGATAATTTGTAATCAGAATGCAATTAATATACACCAATGTTGATACGTACCAACCGCTCCCTTAAGTCCTGGTGGTCCTGCAAGTTAGAGAAGATCGAAATTCATAAGTAAAATACTATAAAAACAAACTTTAAAAAAATTCTTGAATATTATCTTGTTATAATGGTTTGAGTGATATCATAATCGTTTTTTTCTTTCAACATTTAAGAAAAATATCTTATAAGGATTCTTTATTGATTGTAGGGTTCCAATTTTGTTGGACTTCGTGGGTATACGTGTAGAACGAATTTTGATGTTAAACGAAGTACACATTTTATTAAGGCTTATATATAACCACAAAAAAAATATCTACAAAAATACAATTATTCCTCAATCCGCAAAAACTGGTACCCAAATAAATGAATCCACACTGGAAGGTGTTTGCAAATTCAACAGACTAGCTTGAATCGTATTGTAGGAGTTAGAAATAAATGATTAGTTTATAATGGTTGAATCATATTGTTGGAGTCAGAAATAAATGTTTTACTAATAATGGTTAAATATGTTTAAGTGAAAGAAACGTTTGATTGGAATTTTTAACTATTACTTCCTCTTCAAATGATTTATATGTGCTTTGTAATATAAAACAAATGAATTGCTACTAGAATACAATTGATATATATGAATATTCATACATACCATATCCGCCCTTAGGTCCTGGTTGTCCTGGAAGAAAGAGATAATAGACTGTCATCATTTGATTAATATGAAACACATGACCTTTTGTAGACTCTAGCAAATTTACTATTTAAAGTGGTTTGACATTTGAATCAACAGTGGAAGGTGTTTGCAAATTCAATAGCCTAGCTTGAATCGTATTGTAGAAGTTAGAAATAAATGATTTGCTTATAATGGTTGAATCGTATTGTAGGAGTTAGAAATAAATGATTTGCTTATAATGGTTAAATATGTGTAAGTGAGTGAAACGTTTAATTGGAACTTTTAACTTCCTTTTGGAATGATTTATATGTGCTTTGTAATAAAAAGGATGTATTGTTACCAGAACGCAATTGATATATACGAATATTGATTTGATTTTGGTGTTTTAACGCCACTTGGTATCAGAATGCAATTGATATACACCAATGTTGATACGTACCATCCGCTCCCTTAGGTCCTGGTGGTCCTGTAAGTTAGAGAAGATCGAACGTCAAAAGTACACTACTATAAAACAAACTTTTAAAAAATCTTGGATTTTTTCTTGTAATTGTGGTTTGAAAGATATCATAATCGTTTTTTCTCTCAACATTTAACAAAAATATCTTCTATGGATTCATAATTGATTGTGGGGTTCCAATCTTGGTGGATTTCGTGGGTATACGTGAAGCACGAATTTTAATGTTAAACGAAGTACATATCTTTTTTAGGCTTGTATGCAGACCTTGGCAAAACCACAAAAACAACTATCTACGAAAATACAATTATTCCTCAATCCACAAAAACTGGTATTCAGGAAATTTAAATGAATCCACAGCGGAAGGTATTTGTAAATTCAATAGACTAGCTTAAATATGATTGTAGGAATTGAAAATGAATGATTTGCTAACAATGGTTCAAATATGTTGAAGTGAGTGGAACCTTTGATTGTAACGTTTACTAACATTTCCTTTTGAAATGAATTGTTACTGGAATTCAATTGATATAAACAAATACTGATACATACCATACCTGCCCCTAGGTCCGGGTTGTCCTGAAAGAAAGAGATGATAGACTTCCGTCATTTTATTAATATCAAAGACATATCTATTTCTAAACTAAACTCTAGCATATCTATTATCTAAAGTAGTTTGACATGTGCTGTGACATCTTGTTTTCTCTCAATATGTTATAACATATCTATTCGACGCCAGCAAAATTGAAGAGACATACGTTAGTGTTACTTCCGTTGCAAGGAAATGAAAAAAAAAACTGTAGATTATAGCTAAACAGTTTTCAGGCGAGTGGAAAGTTTCATTGCAATCTTAATTGAAATTCATATTTCTCCTTATCTATATGTGACTTTGCAAGGAAATAAGATAATTTGTAATCCAAATGCAATTAATATACACGAATGTTTGATACGTACCATCTACTCCGTTAGGTCCTGGTGGTCCTGAAAGTTAGAAAAGATCGAATATTATAAGTACTATACTATAAAACAATCTTTTCAACAATCTAAAACTTTTTCTTGTTTGACTGGTATCATAATCGTTTTCTCTCTCAACATTTAGAATAAGATGAATTGTTACTAGAATGCAATTGATACATACGAATATTGATACATACCATACCTGCCCCTTGGTCCTGGTTGTCCTGGAAGAAAGAGATGATAGACTGACATCATTTGATTAATATGAAAGACACGGCCTTGTGTAGACTCTAGCCATTCTATTAATTAAAGCGGTTCGACATTTTCCCTATTTCTTATTTCTTTCAATATGTTAGAACATATCTCTTCGACGATTACGAAATTGAATAGAAATTTAAATGTTACCTTCGCTGCAAGGAATTGAAATCTTCTATTTCACAAGATTTGCATGTAACTTAGCAAGAAAATAAGATTACTTGTAATCATAATGCAACTGATATACACAAATGTTGATATATAACATCAACTCCTTCATGTCATGGTGGTCCTAAAAGGTAGAGAAGATACAATGCCATCATTATAATGCTTTTAAAAGAAATGTAATGTTTAAGAACTAACAGTGGTATTACATTGTATTAGTTTTTATCCATGTAGTGCCAATAAATATTTTCCCCGCTTACCTCTACTTTTGTTTTATAATTTTATTACATATAGTTTAAAAAGCCATTTTTTTAAATCTTATAAAATCCTTGTTATTTTTTCATAGTTTTTGAAAGAAAAAAAGGTGCCAATGTTAAATGTAAGAAAAATGTAGAGAGAATAATTTTCTGCCAATTTTTCAAATGCTTATATCTCGAAAACAAGTACACGAACCTTTCATTTTTTTCTGCATTTTTAGTTCTGTTATTTATTTACTATCAATTTATAACGGTCTTTTTAAAAGCTTGTTATTTTGAAACAGATTAGCGAACATCATAAAACGTGCATTTTGCAAGTAAATAAAATACTGTGCAAACATAGTGCAATTGACGTACAAATTTGATTGGATTTTTAACTGAAACTTCAATTTCAAATTGGTATGTGTGCCGTATAAGCAAATACGATGAATTGTAACTAGAATGCAAATGATATACACGCATGTTGAAACATACCATCCATTCCTTTAAGTCCTCTTTGTCCTGAAAGAAAGAGTAGATAGAATGCCATCAATTTATTACTATCAAAACATGGTTCCAGCAAATCTACTAATTAAAGCGGTTTGACATTTGCCGCATTCTTCTTTTCTCTCAATGCGTTAGAACATATCTTTTCGAATAAATTTCGAATACTTTAGTAAAATAGTGTGATGAAGGATAACCTGATTTAACGAAAAGATACAACTGCATGTATTCATCAGTATATAATATAGATAAAATAGAATGTATCAATATGACTTTAGAGTTTATCAAATGTCTTATTCAGATCTGTTGTCTCCAGATGCATTATGATCTATCAGATCTAACAAATTGTACTGTATTTCCAGCTTTTGAAACAAACGACGTTCAATGCTTGTCAATAATTAAAGACCTTTTGTAAAAAAAATAGATAAAAAAATAAAAAAATAGTCCTAAGTTGAGTTCTGTACTACAATACAGTAATAAGGTCATTTGTAATAAAACTCATGAACGCATAATTTTCAATAAGAGTTGGAATTTTAAACCTTTTATTTGTCATAATGTAATGATATAATAATTTAAAAAGTCTACAAAATCCGTTGAATAATAACCAATGTATTTCAATTTTGTTCAGTATAATAAGAACATTGAATACAGTTTTGATTCAACGGTGATCTGTTTTACGAAAATTTGCATACCGGTTTTTTTCCCCTAATAAATACATATAGGTTATACAAAATATACGTGCATGTGCTTCTTTTAGAAGATAAACAGGGTCAAATTTTAAACATTGATTCAAAATTTCGGTTTTTTTGGATATTTCTATTCTTTGGACAGACACATATAACTTGTTGTTTCAAAAGATAAACACAAGTGGATTTTGTCAAAGCATTTGGAATATCTTTATTATAAGTATGATCTAAATTTGCGTAACAATTTTATCGAATTTCATGATTTAAAAAAAAAATGTTATGTTTGCTGTAAACAATTAATCTTCATTCATAGTCAAGCCAAATGTCATTTTAGAAAAGAATGGTCCATGTACTTGTTTTCAAGCTAAAGATTAAAATCAGTCAAAAATGAATCTTTTCCAAAAATGTTACAGTTTGACGTCGCGAAAAAAACACATTTTACATTAGCGACACAATTCTCTCTCCTGTCACTATTGTATGTCCTGAATACAGAACGGACCGGAAAATATGTTGATCTTCGGTTATCGTACAAGAGGGAAATAAACAACAAATTGCCATGTGAATATTTGTAATTTTCTCTAGAAAAACAGAACGACAATAAGTCTGGTATACAATAAAAAACACGTGTTCTGTTTCTCAGAAGTCTCTTTTAATATAATGTAATATACAGTGGATCTAGTGAAAGGCAAACCATTTCCCTTGATAATGAACTGTTCTTTATAGTATAAACGGATGTCACCCTTGATAACTGTTTCTTTCTTGTATCATTGCTCTCATCTACGACAATTACCTTTGCTTTTTAGTATCATTGATATCAAATTAGGAAATAACGTTTGTTTGGTTTAATAATTTAAGACAACTGCCTTTTCATACTGGTATCATTGAGATCAGCTAAATAAATACCTTTGCTTTCTTTTTTCATTGATTTTATCTCTGAAAATTACCTTTGAAGTCTTATATCATTGATCGCCACAAAGAATATTTCCTCTGCTCTCTTGAATCATTGATCTCACCTAAGAAAATTTTCTTATTTTTCATGTATCATTAATATCATCTCGGGAAATTACCTAGTTTGCTTTCTCATGTTTCTTGAACTATTAATTTCAGAAAGACAATTACTTTTGCCTTCTCTCATCTAAGAAAATGACATTTGCTTCCTTGCATCAATGATTCTATCTCAGAAAATGACCTTTGCTTCCTTGAATTATTGATCGCCGCAAAGAAAATTATCTCTGCTTACTTGTATCATTGATCGCCGCATAGAAAATTATCTTTACTTCCTTGTATTATTATAATAATCTGATCTCTGAAAATTACCTATCTTGAATCATTGATCGCAGCAAAGTCAATTTCTTTAGCTTTCCTGAACCATTGATCTTATCCCAGAACATTACCTTAAGTTTGCTTACTTATATCTTTCTTCTCACCTAGGAAATGTGCCTTATATTTTTCATGTAGCATTGATTTACCTCACTCATCTCTGAAAATTACCTTTCGTTCATTGTATTATTGAATTCATCTCGGAAAATAACCTTTCGTTCATTGTATTATTGAATTCATCTCGGAAAATTACCTTTTCTTTCTTTAATCATTGATCTCAGCAAAGAAGGTAACCTTTGTTTTATTGTACATGTATCAATGAAATCATCTGGTGAAAAAACAATTTTCGCTATCTTATATCATTCATCTGATCTCCAAAAATAGACTTTGCTTTCTTAAATCATTGATCTTTGCAAAGAATACTGCATTTGCTTTCTCTCATTTGAAGAAAAATAATGTTTGCTTTTGTGTATAATTGATCTCATCTAAGATAATACCCTTGCTTTCTTGGTTTTCTTGAATCATTGAATCTTGTTTAAGAACATTTTATGTGTAATAATGTAGTATTCCCTTACAGGATTTGATGCACTTATTTCAAAGACGGAAAAAAGCTGATAATGCACAAAAAAAAAAACAAAAAAAAACCATACACATGTCTGGTAAACTGTTGGTTTGTTTCTTTTGAGAACTGTGTTTCGGATTTCAATTTTTGATTGCCTGGTATCAAATATGATTTGGATCTACATGCTATTATTTAAGTCAGTACTATTTTCATACAGTGCTCATTTGTCTTTTCAAATTATTTTACTGCTTGATATTCTGTGGAACTATAGCATAACAGACAGAAAATTCAATTCAAGTCAATTTACATGTAATGATGAAAGTATTAGTGTTTCGCCTTCTAATCTCTACTATCTACCCTAAATAAGTAATTCCCCTTAAGTTACTATGCTTTTCTTAATTAAAAAGGTGTTTAAACTATGCGTTTAAAACTAATTATTAAGTACTTGTTACCATATGTTTGTATCTAACACAAATATATTTGATAAAAAATAACCATATAATACCAATCCAGATAGCCAACTTTTACAGACATTCTAATAAGTGATTATGAAAAAGTGCACATGTTTCACACGTACAATGACGGCAATAATTAAGTCGTCACACCACCGAGAGTCTTATTTTTTAGTCCACCAGAAAAAATCATCTCACAATCACACATTGGCATCCCGTAAACAAAAACGTATATTTTACCAATTTATCTTCCTTTCAATGGTTGGTTAGGTTCCTGCTATAACATAGTTTTCTAACCGTCATTAAAGACCATTCCATGAAGTGAGACATGTGCTGCTACCAGAGCAAACATTTTATTTACTTACGATATTTGGCGTAACTGTAACGTTGTTTTTCAGAATCTGAATTCGTCTGTTTTGTTTCCGGTTCCATTGGTCTGTAACTTATGTTTTTCACTGGAGCTGGAAAGGTCTGTTTTCTTTTTGGCTTCCTTGATCTATAACTAGTGCGTTTCGAAGAATCTCGAAACGCCTGTTTTAAATCTTGTTTCTTTAGTCTATAACGTGTTGGCTTTGATTGAGTTCGATAAGAGGTATGCGCTGATATGAAAATAAGAAACATTATAAATAGCATGTAGATATTAATAACTATTGTAAGTTAACCATTTTATAAAAAAAAAACCACAGCTCAACTATTAGTTATATCAATATAACTCAGATGCCAAAAAAACAGAAAGTGTATTGGCCGCTTGCATATTTTCGTTTTATGTATTGTATTATACATTTTCGCTAAATTTCAAATTTGATAAAACTGAAACATTTGTAGTGAATTGAATACATACCTATAGTTGAGGAGGTATATCAATAAATGAAATTAGCGATATCTGTCTTCAAAGTGACCGGTCTTCATAATTGAGAAAAGTCTGAACTTAGGTAGTTTTAGAATGTCCGCATATTGATCATGTGTCATGAATTGATTCGCCGTATCTTATCTTGTCCCTTACTTTTTTAGACTATTAAAGCAATTTTGAAGCCCATTCAAGAGCAGTGAAAGTGTAATTCATTAAGAATTATGTTATCTTAAAATTCGTCATAATAACGGATCATTCAACAATATTTTTATACTTTTTGTTATTGAAAGTGCAGTAAAATTCAACAACCTACCAATTTCGAACCTCTGAATGAAATAAATACAAGACATTCTCAGAAATCGTAATAACATATTGTTTTGAAACTCAAATACAACCTTGCTAAGAATACAAAATCGTTAACAAACAATATCGGAACTTAAATTTCACTGATCGCAATTTTAATTCGCATAAAAAAAGTTTTATAAAATTCGTTAAAGCAAAGCTTAAATATGTTTTCTTACAGATGAATCTAATTATATCGTAATAAACGGGTTTGTCTCATTTTGCATAATACAATTCCATATACTGCAATCTACATGCATAATATTATTGTGAATGATGATATCAGACTCCTTACCAATTACAAATTCAAGACAAGCTACACAGATTAAAACTGTAATAAACGCATTTCGTCCTGCCATTATATAACAATACAAGCTTGTATGATCTTCTAATGGTTCGGTAGAATTTTGCAGTGTGTCGTTCTTTGTTATGCTGACAAATTGAAATGATTTTAAATAATCTCAAACGATTGATAACAATTAACAATGTAACATGTGTTTACCAGGTATACGACCATACATACACTTTTTTTCTTGGTTAGTGAGTAAATTGAACTCTACAACATACTATTAATTTTTTTTTCAATTTAATGGTGTGCAACTTCTACTCGTGTCAAAAGTTTATGATTTTTGTAATGATGGAATAAGTCACAACAGATCATAGCGAAATATGTGAATGAGGGTGGGGTAAGGGGCAGTCATTTTTGCCGAATGATACTCAAACGTTGTAATTAGACTAAGCAGAATTTTATTTAAGGCTTTACAACGTCCAAACATACAGCGAGAA